GCACGGGTGCGCATGTGAAGGCTCGATAATAACTGGGCAGGCAGCTTGTTTTCTTCTGTTAGGCAAAGTTCTGATATCCTGCGGGTGTGCATATGAATGTATGTAAGATAGCACATTGAGGGGAGGAAGTCCTCTTAAGTGGTTGTTGCGTCCGGCAAAAGTGTGATCGGTTTACGAGGTTTCAACCACTACTATGATTGATAGTGTTGAGTAAGTAAATTTTCCTGAATGAAATTCCTTTTGTTGACTAGACGAAAAACATTTTCATTGATTGATTAAAAAAGAAAGAATACTCATCCCTTTGATAATAGTAGTGAAAGTTGCACGAATGATTTTTAAACTGCAGGTAGTAAAACTTAACATGAACCAATTTACCTTATACTTTTTCAATTTAATGATAATTCTCTTTGCTCTTATCCAAACAGAATACTAACGCAAAGCCCTAAAAAAAAAGAAAACTTCTCCCCCTTACGAAAAAAACGACTCTGCTACATAACAGGCTGGCCTTGTAAAAATGTTCACTAAAAAGTTGTAACGAAACGGCTGAATTTAAAATAAACGACGAAAGTTTAAATGAATCTCAAGCGAGTATGGCGACTGATATTCATTTATTCGCGTGAGAAAGTGAGCAAGGTAGTCCGAGGAAGCACTGTAGTGTTATATACCACGTGGGAAAACTACACTCGTAACCAGACCCAAATTAATTTTCTGCGTTTTAAGGGTGGGAATTGAAAAGGAAACCCGAAAAATAGTCATACTTTTCTTGTTACTGTTGCTGTAACAATCGTCAATTTATATTGCTAATTACGTTAAATGCCGCTTCGCGTAAATTGGATTACTTTTGTGGCTATTCTAATAATGTTTTATAAATATTTGAATATTTTTTGTAATCAATCAATAAACCACAACACAATAAGAGAACAACTTCTCTAACATTTTTCATCTTTATAAAGGTGAGTTTACTATTTATTATAAACATACACTCGAATAACCACTATTTGTGGAATTGTTTTTTTTTTAGACATTTTTATTAAAACAACATAATACAAAGTTATAATTACAATTAAACAAAATTTCCTGAACAAAACCAGATTTTTTCGAAGTGGTGAAGAGGGGAAATCTCCTAAAAATACTTATGTTTAGTAAAACAAAGGGTAGTGTCAGATTCACCAAACAAAGTTCGCTCCAACCCATGCAATATCACTTTCTCTCAAGAGATCATCCCGAAGGTTGTTATATTATAACTTTACAATTAAATAAACGCTATAATATTGTAATCTTATGTAATCTCTTTGAAGAATAAAAGAGAGACAGAAAAGGAGCAAATAAAAACTAGGGATTGTGCGACTAAAATTGAAGTACTGTATAAATGTAAGTATTTGTTAGAGATGAAAAGGGACACTATGGGTTTAGCAGGTTATTGTGATGCTCCTAAAAGGAACATGAGCATTCAATCAAGTCTTTACACCTGAATGAGCAGTTTGCAATTTCGATGATAGAGCTAGAGTGGTCCGTGATACAAGAGTGGAGTTTGGAGACAAGAGTAGGGGCTGCAAGAGCACAGGAGAGATGATGCCGTACTCCTCAATAATTTGAAGCTTTCTGTTGTGTATCAGAAAAAAAGTATTTATAGATTTGCTCTTAAAAATAAGAGCAAATAAAAAAAAGTATTGTGTTACGATAGTACTTATTCTGTTGTAAAGATAACGTGCAAAATTTTAGTTTATGGTATACATTTAGCCATTTGTTAATTCATAGAATCATCTTGATAAAAATCTTGATGGAAATTTTATAGCTGCACTTTGAGACGGTAAAACTCTCACTTCGGCCCCATGGGCAAAGCTGGCAAGGTTAGGGACGCAAATTAAGATTCAGGGCACGGAGAATTCGATCCCAGTGAACTTGAATTGCACTGTGTAGTCGAAGATGAGTTATATACACGACCGCATTCGAAGTTTAAGCGGTACTAGAACCGGTGAATCCACCCTGAATTAAATTATTAGATGCCAGTGACACGTAAATGTACACATGTAATCCAATAGCTATCATTAAGCCAGACATGTTTACAAAGAATTCTCGTACGTTTCTGTAAACTTTGAAAGAATAATTGCTTTTTTATTCCTCTGCAGTTATATACTCAATCTAATGCATGACATAAAAATTCTTTCATAACAGTTCTACTTATGGATACAACATTTTATGCATATATGTGTATTATAGTAATTTTAAATGTTTGTGAAACTAATGAACCGAAAAAAAACTGTTGGGCAAAATAATAAATAGAGAGCACGAGTATTACGGATGAAAAAAATTGGGTTATTTACCATCTTGGGTACACGTGTCAACTCGATCAAACGACGGCAGTAAAACGCGAGTGTCTAAATTATTCATCGAAAGATCTGTACACATACACGCAAACACTTCTGAGGAAAAAAAAAAAAAACAAATTCGACAGAGTCACTTCCGTGAAACGTGCCAAAAAATAAAGTCCGATCGATATACAGCGAGCGGAGAGACACTTATCCTATTTGTTTTTTTTAAAGCGATAAATCATCTCGCTGCAATGGATACCAGCACTCAAAACAAAAGTTAATCAAAGCTCTCGAAGAAAAAGCTCAACGACCATTATCCCTTCACTTAATTCTGATTCGATTATTGCCACAAATCTTCGCATCATTTTTCTCTTTTGCACCTCTATCCCTCGTATTATTAGACACTCTAGTCCATTTACTTCGCACCGAGGAGCATATTGACCGAAACGATTGACACCCCATCCGCAGCACTGATAAAAGAGGACAAATCGTAAGCCCACGGAGGGCGTAATCCACACGTGCGGGGTGGAAACCGATAGGAAATATAGAGTAAAAAGGGGGGAGAGGGAGGGTTCAGCGTAAGGACAACGAGTCTGGCGGCTGCTGTTGCTGTCAGAGCCGGGTCAAGGATAAGCAGGATGTGACGTCACACGAGGCAAGATCGATATCGCGTCGCACGGCACGCGTCTCTCTTGTTCTCTGTCTCTTTTATCATAATATATCGGCGTTGAAAGCTCAACGGAGGAATAACTGCATTGGGATTTCGATGAAGATTTCAAGGCTGTTCCTCTGATCTCTGAGCCTGCGTAGTATCTCGGTAGATCCTTTTTTTTTTTTTTTTTTTTTTGCATTCGATGCGAAATTGCAGCTGACGTTGCTGCAAAAGACAAGCAATACATCATATCGGGCATTTTCACTGCCGTTGCGACACGCGAACTTGAACAAATAACAGATTGAAACCCTCGCTTATGAATAATGCGCGCAGTTATCAAGCTAACCTTATGACCACGCGTGGGTATTGTGTGCTTGTGTATCCTCTACTGCATATATGTACGTGGGAAGCTCCGTGGAAATCAGCACCTGCTGATTTATAGGTCACTGTCGAGAGGAAAGGCCCTGTACTGACACATCACTGGCCCTTAGCTTCGGTTGATTGATCACCCTAAGGGCGTATCACAGGGGGGTAATCGGTATTGTGTTTTTTTTTTTCTTGTTTGCGATGAAATTGGAAATGTGTCCAGATCCGATGTGTTGGGGTACAAGAGGATTCTGATGTTTGGTGTGATTCATGTGTTCATGAGCATCAATGCGACGCGATACCAGATAGGATGATCGTACACTCTGAGCCCAAAGAATGGTAACAATGTGAAGGAGCTCCGGTAGACAATATAGGAAATACAAAAACAAAATCCATGGTTATCTTTAATCCACGACTTCTTTAACATAATTACTAAAATACAAGCTTTTTAGTTTCCCATTAACAGTTTAAACTTCTACCTTCATGGTGTACAGAATTTATTTTTGTTGCCGACATTTCCATTGGATGTCATAGGTTCATTAAATTTTCTTATAAAGCATCTTATGATATTTTGGGATTTTTTGCTCCACAGACATAATTTTAGTCAAAAAGAAGGTTTACTAGTTGTTGTAACAATTGTGCAAGAATAACCATGTATATATTGAGACTATAAAAAACAAGGTTTCATAAACCAATGGCAGAATTAATTCTAAGTATTTGTGGACTTTAAATTAATTTACAAAGAATCATCAATTCCTTCAAGAACAAAGATTATCAATCATCAAGTTTTGTCTCGATTTATAACGTATCAATCTTGTCTTGATATTATCTGACTAGGTAGAGGTGAATACTGACTAGGTACAGACAACAAAATAAATTCTGATTCAAAAAATACATTTTATTTGAAAATCCATAATTTAGAATATTCCTTACGTTTGCTAAGTTTTACAAAAATTTTTCCATCTTTCGTTGTTCAATCCCAAATAACGATTCCATTTGCTGAAAACCCAAAAACGTACGTTATTACATTGTGCAAGTGACGTTTGTCGAAAATAATCGTTTTAAGAGCATACGATGCTCCGGAAGTACGACGAAAATTCTGCCGCGTACACGTACCTATATTGAATGGCTTGGAACTTTACCAAAAATTTAAATTATGAATTAAATTTCTAAAAAACATCTTTTCCCTGTTTCCTCCTTTTTTGTTCGCCAAACCTCTGTAAATCATGTCATGCTGAAAACGTATATGGGTGTGCACTAACTCCGGAATCATTTTATTTTTCAAACAGTTGCGAAACAGAGACAATAAATATAATATCGACACAGGTTGTGATTGTATCGTGGAACATAAAATAAAATACCGTACAGCAACCCAAATGGTATAGTAATTTACATTCTAGCTTCTACACTTAGAAAACTCAAGTGATCATAAAATCATCCAATAATGCAAACAACTTTATTCCCCTTTTTCACATTGAATATACCAAATTCTAAACGCAATAGCTCCGACGACCCATGTTTATCACTCCCTCCACATGCCTTTTAGCACTAAAAATACCACCAAGCCTCTAAAAATACCAACTCTCAAACAGCAGCCCCCTCCCCCCATAGCATTTCTATAAATGTACCATCTTCGCTCTCCTCTTTTGAATCACACCATATAATCTTAGATGCTGAAATCGTGCCGGATGCTGAGCATGACAGTGCGAGGGCCACCGATAGACCCGCGCTGCCGGGGCAACCATCCGATCTACCCGGTGAATCGACAGCAGACCTGCAGTTGGATCGACAGGCAAGGGAGGCCAGCTTCGCCGCCACCCGTCAATCCACGCGACTCGCGCTACGGTGGCGCGCGCACGCGCAAGGTCGACCTCTGCATCGAGCACGGGCAATCGCTCGGGCTTATGATCAGGGGTGGCCTCGAATTCGGCCTCGGCATCTACGTCACCGGCGTCGATAAGGATAGCGTCGCCGATCGGGCTGGATTGATGGTGCGTTCATTGATTCATCTATTCACTCGTGATGAGCGCACTTTGTCTCCAATTCTTTTTTTTTTTTTTTTTTTTTTTTTTGATTATACGATTGGGACTTATTTTCTTTTTGAACTATTGGATACTTGGACTTTTGCTCTTTTCGAGGAGAAGTAGCACTCGATCGATGTTTTCGGCACGTGTTCATAGGTATACATGATCGTTTACGTGTACGAGTACAGTTGTATTGTAATGAACCATAAAATAAGATGATACGATAAAGTATTCAATAGTTTCGATCGTCACTCTTTTTAGCAAGCGTGTAAAGTTGCCGGGGTTTATAAGTGGATGAACTCTTGACCTGTTACAATGCATCTAAAATTAAAGCCACGTCTTCCACTGCTATTTTATTCCTCGTAAGACTTATTGAGATGCTCGATTTATAGCTTATTGGTACTTTAAGTGGGGCAGCTTAATTTTTAAATATTAAATTCAAATAACGGACATTTAAAAAACGATTCGTTGCTAAAAAAAAGTATTAAAACTTTTTTCATTCTCAATCATAATTCTTATTGTTATTATTTTGTTCCTGTAATTTATTCATCACCAAAAGGAATTTTCTTAATATTTGACATGTTAAATCAATTATTTATATGTACATACAAACGTGTAACAGCTTATCAAAGATTAAAATTCATTTTTTACACTTTCAACATATTGGTACTTCCTTCTGATAATTAGTGAATGATTATTCGAAGAGTATTACATTTTTTGGATAATTTAGATCAAATAGAAAGGAAGATTATTTAATGATTTTGATCAAATTTCTTTACGCTTGACAATACATTTTCGATCAGTAACGATGGTTCATTTACGAAGTATTTGTCGAATCACACCTAATTTTTGTTTGACAAGAAATATACATCCAAAGCTCATAATCGATATAATATCTCGGTCACCTTATTTTAATTAAACAAATACTCGCTCTTATACTAGCAGCATTTTATTTGTAATCCACTATAAAAACCGTTTTGTCAATTACAGCATTAAACTACCGGTCGAGCCATAAAAATTCAATATCGGCATAAATACATTCGACTAGACGTGCATCGATTGAATACAAATGAATTAATCGGCACACACGGGCTAGCACCAAATCCTAATATAACTTACAGGTGGGCGATCAGATTCTCGAGGTGAATGGCCAGAGCTTCGAGGAGGCGATGCACGACGAAGCGGTGCACATACTGAAGACGAGCAAGCGCATGAGCATGCTGATCAGGGACGTTGGCAAGGTGCCGCACTCATGCACCACCGACCAGTCGATAGTAGTGCCGGTGCCGAGGTATCAGGACCACGACTCCCTGCTGCTCGAGAGCCCGGCCAATCATAGGCCCCCCAGTCCTGAGTAAGCGAAACCTCTTCCTCCTTTTTTTTTTTTTTTTTTTGTACTCTCTAATAGCTGCTTCCGCACTCAACGTATACATTGTTGGTTTTAAAATTTCAATTTTATCGGAATCCACTTTGCCCAGGCAGGTTAAAGTATAATCGTGTAACAAACGAAATTGCTGCATTTACGAGGAATTTATCGTGCATCGTGAAGTTACCGTTCAAGCTTTTTTTTACTCTCCTCGGTGTCTGATGAGGTTGATTGGATTTAAAAATTAAACTTTAATAAAGTCACATGCGCGTGAATTTTCAATAAACCGTGTTTTATAGGTATCACCATCCAAGTGAGTTAAGTGGCGATAAAAAGAAAATTACTACAGTCAAAGGGAGTCTCTCAAAATTATTTTAACATTACCACATCATTGCTATTCTGGTACTTGTGAGACAATCAGTTTTAGAAATTTATACATACTGTATTCCCTTGAGTCAAAATTTGGATTGTTAATCACAAAAGTAACGCATAGTCGAAAAATTAATCGACTCATTGAGAATATATTGATTGATTTGCTAACGAAAATCGTATGTTTCCGTTGTTGATTGTTATTAATGAATTAGCGAAATAGTACAAGTGTATTGTGCATCATTTGTTTGAGTAAATAAACATATTTTTTATGAATTGGTAAATGAACGCAAGATTTCAACAATTATTTAAATTATATTGTTGTATCATTCCATAACATCGAGAAATGTATTATCTTAAAAATATACTAAAAACCACAATAGCTGTATATAATCGGTATTAATAAGCCATCGATAACCACATCTTTTCGAAAAATTTTTAAAGAACTCACAATCACAAATAGCTTTATGACCAACATAAAACTTTTTATTATGTTCCCAAAAATGTTTTGACACGATATGTTTTTTAAAATATTATTTGAGAAAGTTCTTCTAAACTATTATAAAATAATACACTTTCTTAAAACAAAATTTTTAAATGATGCACTCTTAAAATTAGTTATCGATTAGAATCTTCATAAAATCAACTTTAATAATAAAAAAAAAAAAAAAAATTACAATACTTAAGTTGTACCTACTGATTGTTGTTTCCTGGTCACGAAGAGCAACGCATCTCAACATTTCAAAGATACTCGGTTGCCAGTATGTAACGTGTGTGATTGTAAATAACAGAAAAAGTTATCGAAAATGAAAGCAGGTGACCCTAAAAACCACAGGTCTAGAAACATTAAAACTTGCGTGCCAGACCGAGATGATTCCAAGCAACCCCGCATTCGTGCTCCCACTTTTTTCACTCCCCAAGATTCAACGAGATATGTGTCCCTCTTTTTTTTTGGACGAGAGTGCAGATGGGTGCAATTTCACAGTGAATTAGTTCGGAGATTTGGCGTTGCCAGCAAAAACTCCGTATCTTTCGAAAAAACATATTACACAGATAATTACTTGAGATTAGAATCTCTGAATTTCCAAGCTTTAGGTTGTACAGTTACCATAAGCGTATATAGCATGCATCACGAACGCTGTGCTTACAATAAACAAAAAACGTAGACTAAAAATCTTAAAAACAATCATCATAAAAAAACGAAAAAAAGTACTAATCAAAAACCTTGAATGGGAAAAAAAAAAAAAAAAAAAAAAAATGAAACAGGAGCGTGGAGTGGAGGCATCGGGGACAGCAGCCGATCTCCGCGGCTACGGTCGCGATGGTCGAGGAGAAGGCACGGATTGTGCTCGCGCGTAGCGAGCGAGCCGCGCTTTCTCAGCTCTTGATTGACTACCGAGCCCGTCGATTGACGGTCGAGGACTTGGTGGTGAGTCTGGAGGATCTGCTCAATACGCACGAAAAGCTCACGCTGCTCACAGAACTGAGGGAGCTTGTCGAGAGCAAAGACAGACCGGCCTTCGATGATCTCGTCTATCGGCCGAGGCTACCGAGGGTGAGTGTTTTTTTCGTTTATTACAATTTTTTTTCTTAGTTAAGTAGCTTGCTGTTGTTTATGTTCCTGCCGATTTATTTACATGACAAGTAGAGTTATAAAATTTTGTGTTTGATGTACATAGGGTGGAAAATTTTTATATTTTTTTTTTGGTGGTTACAATCTCTAACACATTTATGTACAAGAGCATTTATATAAAACTATTTAAAAGTTTGTACTATTCGTGGAAAGTTTATTACTATATTTAATAATTAAAAATAACTTTCGCTCAAGACAGTGAAAGCTCACCTAGATAATTTTGGCAAGTTTGGAAATGTCTGAACTTTGGATTTTTTAATTTCGACATAGTTTTTTCGACCCGTAAATTTCCTACGTATTCCACGATGAACATAAATTGTGATCGAAAGAAGCGTTGAATTTTCGAATAAATTATGCATGAAATTCTCTTTCTCCCCTAACTTTGTTATTCACGCATGGAGCCCATTGTTACGGCTGAATAAATTTTTGAACAAAATAGCAGTGACGTGAAACAACGTCCGCGGCAATGGTATAGCTGTTCCTCCCTGACTTTGATATCCTCCTCTGTACATTGTGCTGTCGTTTGGGTTCGTCAAAACAATGTGCTAGAGTGTGAATAAAAATGAATTTTAATTGTACGAAAGACGGCCAGGGTGAAAGTAAAGTCTAGTACAATGATGTGATGTACGTATATACCTACTAAGACGATTATTTATCCTTGCTGTTGCAGAGAAAAAACGACAGGGCGCACAACTCGGATTTAATAGTGACGCCGTCGCTGCACGAGCTTCCGGTAAGTCCTCTTGACCCAGACAGAGAACAATATCTCAAATCCACGTTGTCTCTCTTTCGCTCTCTTTCTCTCTCTCTCTTTTCACTATCACTATTTTCTCTACATCTCTTTTTTCATGTTCACCGACACGCAAATTTTTTTCTTGCTCACACATTACACTCACATTGATATCACTTCTTTTTGGAACTCGATGACACGATCTTTTTCCCTTTTTTTTTTTTAATTTCGGTGTACTTATCTCTCTGTCTCTCCTTTTTTATCTATTCACACTTATCCTCTTCTGCCTATGCATTTTGCAAACATTTTTTTACTGATCCAGCAGCGTACGTACTTGTTTTTTGTCACTTACCTTATGTACTCACAATATTGCCCATCTTGTATCACTGATTTGTTTGCAATACTAAACTCTTGTTTCGAGATTGGCTAAAATGGTTATTTTTACATTTCTGTACAGCGTAAATAATACGTTATATGATTATCACACAATATGATTGTAACATAAAAATAACATCATTGTGTTGCTAGAAAATATGTACTTGACACTATTCTAGTAAATATTATTTTGATTATAAAAAAAGTTTTTATCTAACCGTATGAGTTAATTAAAAAACTCAAAAATATGAAGAGTTATTCCACGATCCGGTTTTTAATTTATATTATTAAGTAGTAGCAATACAATTCTCTTGATGCTCAAAATTTCATCATTTATAACATACCATAAATTTGTCAATATCACATAAAAAACCCATCCAATACACACTGCAAATTTAGCTTCAAAATACGCAACTCACTATCGTTTCAGAAGCACAAAAAGTCGAAGCAAGCGTTGGTGTGTATTCTCTGTGAAAAAGAAACTCGTGTTCTCCTGCTAACCTGCCCTCGAAAATTTCATCCGTAGATAATGAGAAATACAAGGGGGTAAAAAAAAGAAAGGAACAAAATGCTCCGCAGAAATCCTCACGTTTCCGCACAAGGGATCACTTTGCTCTCTTCCTCTTATCGACCGTATTCGTGACTAGATTGCTCAAAATACAAACTCACACGGTTTCTATTGTACAGATATACCTTATACTTTTTTTTCGTCTACCACAAATCGCGTCTAACATGAAAAAAAAAAAAAAAAAAAAACGATAGTAGAGCAGGTGTTCAGAAAATAAAATGTGAAAAAGTAATGCCATTAAACGAACGAGTCAAGGGAAATAAGTAAAAAAAACATCAAAATTGGAGAAAAAGAAGTAGTAGACAAAAGTCGAATCTTCAAAAAGAAGAAAGCTCTTACAAAAAGAGATTCTTACGTTCAGTCGATTGGAGAGGTGCGAGGCGAAAGTAATCGATGTCAAGTTGGACTTTTTTGGAGTTTCAAACAAAAGTTTTACCACTGGGGGGAGGGGTACATACAATATTTTTATAGAGAGTAGATTATAAAGAGCTATACATACGCTTTGGCAGCGAATTTTTTATGTCTCGTTAGTTGAGAAATAAAGAAATTTCGAAAATTATTGATTTTGCTCTTTTCTTTTTTTTGTGTCTCTATACGCCCTTCTGTTTTTACAACCCTACTTAATTATACACAATTTTTGCAATCTTTTTAATATATATTTATCACAGATCTCTCTCTCTCTCTCTCTCTCTTTCTCTATCTCTTATTAAACTTCCACTTTTTTACCATATAAGTAAGGCACCACACTTTGCAGTTTTGCAGCTCAACAGTAATATATAGAAACTTGAATAATACTCTTAATAAACTTATTTATAATAGACTGTAAAGTTAAAAAAATGTGTATAATCTTTAACTATGTTACGAAGCAGTAAAATAAACTATCAATTCGAATTTTCGATGGCCTTTGACTTTTCTCAGAGAAAATGCAACAAATACCTCTAGAGATATGTTCTATATTATATGCTCTTCTCTGGTATCACCTTAATGAATTTTTTTACGTAACTCAAATAAAAACGGAAAGCAACATTTAAGACAAGTGATTAAAGTGGTAAAATAGTTGTGTAAATATCCCTATAAAAGGTTGAAAACAAATTAAAACCTAAAGTAGCCAATTTATGCATATTTACATATTTTTCTTTCGTAGAAATATAAGGTATTTCTGTGGAGTAGCTACAAAAATATACATAAAAGTAAATATGTAGCCCATTAGTAGGCGTCAAAAGACATGAAAAAGCAATCATGCAAATATATATATGTGTCTTTAGCATCCCATGCATCTTGCGAGTTGTACTCCTGAAATCGAGTTTGTTATTAAATCATGTAAATATTGTCCTACTTCCGTGATATTACAACCATATTACCAACGAAATGTTTCACAGTATCGCTCCGTTTCGGCAACTACGACGAAAGAAACTTTTCGCCGTTTTCATACATCGCCGAGTCAGCAGCACGCGGTTCAAATTAGTGCCACTAAAAATGAAGAATTGACCCTATTATCCAGTAAATAATTCACTACACTTCAACACTCGGCCTATGACGCAGCCTCCACGAAATTACATGTTAATATCCAGCTCACCACGTGTTTATGCGGTAAAAAAAAACACAGAAAATATATATACCTACTTGCGTGTTCCACTTTGATGCAGTATGCAACGCATAGCAAAACTCCTTGACGCATAAGTATAACTTTGCGAGCCACGATATAAGTTTATCGATCAGAGTGCATGAGAAAAAGCGTAGATAGAAAAGTTCGCGTAAATATTTTGATGTCCCGTTTCGAGGCTTTTATTCTCCGTTGAAGTCTGATACTTTTTCTGTTCCGAACGATTCTTTTCTTTCTGTTTCCAACTACTATTTCCATCAACTCTTTATGAAAAAAAAACTTAGCCAAATCGTCAAGTCTCTGTATCAAGTCATGGTAGACTGTAAATTTGTATTTTATAGCAATTGAAATTGTAAATAATAGTATTGTCATACTTTTAAAGAAATGGAAAGCGTAAAAAGAGCTCAGTGCTTATTTATTATCGAAATCTATGACTGATAAAGATATTGAATAAAGGTAAAAGTAAAAAATTTAACAATTTTGATAACTCAAACATTAACAAATTTTGCTTTTCCACAATTTTGCGCAATAAATCTCGAGTTTACTCACAATTTTTCCTGCGCAAAAAGCCATACGTAGTTTCGTGTCAACAAAATAATTAAATTCACAGCACTGATATTACATGATTGAAATTTTTTTTTTTTATCAGTAACTTGTAAATATCGCAACCCATTCACGAAGTAAAGCAATGATGGATGGTCCAGTTACGAGAAATGAATATAACTTTGCCGGAAAAAAAGGAAGAAAAAATTGATGAAAAGCAACCAGCAGGAAGTTTAAAAGCCTCTCGTGTCTACCTTGCGTTCGTCGATGCCGTGTCGTGAGGCCGAGACTATACATATATATTCGCTTGCACATTACCGCCACTATACCGCTACCACCACAAGCACCGCTCATCGATTGCCTAGTTAAAAGCCTAGAAACCTATTTCCCATAAAACGACGACGGAAGAACTTCTCTATCTTGAATCATCGATTTTTCAGCTGTTGATAAAAAAAACAACAGTAGCTTTGTAATGTATTGTATGCCGCTCGAGCACATTCGAGTGCCTACGCTGTAAGGGCTAGAACAGCAGAAAAAAAAAAAAAAAAAGAATAACACACACGGCACACGGGGCTAGTATTGGCTGGTTTATCCATATCTATAAAAACATAGAAATATATAGATGTACCAACCAATGTTATTCCTATGTCTATACGTCTTATTTTTTTTTCTTTTATTTTTTTTTTTTTTTCTTTGCTGTCATAGCATTAAGCTCGGGCAAGTTCGATCGCGTGACACACGATACAACACGACAAAATATACGTGTGTATGTGTGCGCATGTGGGTGTGATTGTATTTATACATGTATATCCTCTGGTGTGCGAGTGGGTGTGTGTTAGTTCTGATGGGTTTGTTGAACGAAAGTTTGTTGGTCAATTGCTTGCGCAGAGAGTCATAGACAGCAGGACGGGACGACTCATGGAGGTCGATGGAGATCCTCTTGGGGCTACGGGACCGCTTCTGCCCAGCCGAGGTAACCAGGATTACCGCTCGCCCAGCGAGGACAGCGGCTTCGGGCCTGAAATACCCAGGATCAGGTCGAGACTTAACTCTCTCTCTCTCTCTCTCTTTTCTCTCTATCTCTGTTATGCACAATTTCCAACTCTGTTTTAACCTTTTACTCTTCTAAGCGTTGTTCTCTCTTCTTTCTTCTACTTCTTATTCAATTTTACTAATCTCTTACCTCAATTCTCACTTCATAGTTGTATTGTCAAATATTCTATATACTTTCTGTTCTTGTAACGATGGATAGTTTGGTGTGAGTTTTTATTGTTTCTTAGATCAGATTTTCAAAATTTTTTTGGTACTAACCACAGAATAACTTAATCAACTACATGATAGGTTATTTACAAGTGACATGATATATCACAACGTAAAACATACTTAAACTATTAGTTTGATAATTTAGTTATTGGTTTTTTTATGTTTTTCATTAATACTTTTTTATTTTTCAATAATCCTTTACGCACATAAATTTTTCCTACATCTTTCTAACAACGTAGTTTGACACGAGTTACTTACGAGTACTTAATAAAAAAATTTATACATTTTTTTGTATCGATTTTCTATGCTCGAGCAAAAATAGGATCCGTTAGTTCTGAAGATGAGTTAAATTATGTATGATTTTGAGATTTATCGGGAAAAAAAAGTATTTCAAGCAACAAATTTTATAAAATGTCACCCTAGTCATATTGCTTTAACGAAATTTCTCAGACTACACATAATCTAGAGTAATTATATTCAGGTATTCATCTAGTTTATAATATTAGGATTTATTAAAAAAAAATCTTTTGTAGTTGTATACTCACAAAAAGCAGAAGTAGAGCACTCCACTTTATTTTAAATTAATTTGACGTACAATTAATAAATTAATGTGTCCTCTGCCTCTAAATTATACACTTGTTTTGTAACTATATTACTCACACATTGACTACCTAAGTATACATAAATACATGAAAATATATATGTGTACACACACTCTAATTAAAACAACATTTCCAAAAGCCGTTTAACCAGTCAAATATTGTAAAAAAACGATGAGTATTTTCTCCATCCAGACACAGTTATCGTGAAAAATACGCTAAACTCTTTCAAACGGAGATAGCATAAAATTTCCACAACATTTTACGAAAAATCAGTTAACAAAAAAAAAAGTCTGAACTCCGATTGTTACTTCCCCGACAGCATTAAAACTTTCTTAGAATTTTTGTTCTCACTCCATCTCTTCGGACGTGTACGATCGATCGGCCGCATGAGAGAAAGAAATGTTTGCTGAAACTTTATCTGGCCACGTGATAAAAATAAGCTTCCAAAATACATGTTCTTGCGTACGTAAAAAGTATCGTAAAAATATCTGGATACCTACACGCAAATTTTATTCAAAAATTATCCAACATCTAAATTTTAACACCAACGTACACTCGCACCTCAATCTCGCGACGTTTTAACCACCATCATCACATTATACACGTCAGTCTGCCCATATTTAACAGCGGCAAATGAAAAAAAGTTCTGGATTTAACGAATTTGCAAAACGGCCCTCGTGCCTTTTTTTCTCATTGGCAAAGTAGAGCAAAGAAATAAGAGTAGTAATGGGTAGAGAGACATGAACGGCAGGGCAAAGGGTGAATGAGGGAGAGGAGCTGAAAAAAAGGTGGTCGTATAGTTGTCGGCTGGGATCGTAAAAATGTTAATTTCCCAAATGAAATCATTAGCATGCCCGGGCTCGAACGTCTAATTATTCGTCTGTACACTATCTGGCTGGCGGCACGCGCCTACACTACAACACACCGGCACAAGCATCAAGGGGGTAAAAGGAGAACGGGCGCCGTGACTTCGTTTAATTGTTAATCGATATCTGGCCGTCAGCCACGGCTTTTCTCCCTCGGCTATCTCGAGCTGTTTCTATGTCTTGAAGGTACAGCCGTTAGGACTTTGATTCGATGATGGAAACATTTCTTTTCATCCTGTACCGAGTGAAACGTCATGTTCGATTTTCACGAGATCCGAATTTGCTCTGTAATGAAATTACTAGCCCTAAAGAAAAAATAGAGGGTTCAGGCGTCGGGCGCGAGGACTTTTCCAATCGCAAACTCGTGTTTGAACTACTTTTGACGGTACTCATTGCTTTTAACGGAGTTGGACGAAGATCTGAAATTTACTTCACGCTTTTCGGAAAGCTTTGTTCATCGTGATCACCGTGTTTCGACGGATGCGTCGTGCAAAGTTCATTAGATAGTTTGAAGTACGCGAAATTGATGTATATTTTTTTTTATTTTCACCAAATGTTCATGACGTTTGATCACGTAAATTTTATGAGTCCGGGTTTGGCGAATATTTTGGTATTTTTTTTAATGAATGTACAGTTGATAAATTATATTTTAATTTGGATCATCTTTTGTGTTGAGAGATGCTTTTGACACACAGAAGTTCAAATATAAATTATAGAGGATATATGCCTGACTTCTTTTGATCAAGACCTTACAGAGTGAAGCGTCATTAATTTTAAAAATTCCAAGCACATAAACTGAAATCATGAAAACCTGTATTTAATAAGAGTAATTGCTATTTTTTCGAAATATTTATTTTTTCAGAACCATTCCAAATAACGTTCGTGCTTTAATTTAATTACTTACGTAGAAATCACTTTTCGTTCACAGTACAGGTCTGATATAGAATTCTCGTAAAACACTTTTATAAAATTTTAATGCAACATTCGCGTTTCACCTTTAATATTTTTCTGTCAGAAAAACTTTTTAGAACATTGGAAAATTTTAAATGCAACGTACAAGTTACTTTAAAAATTGACTTGATCCGTTGTTAAAAATATTTATAATGGGCAAACACTATTACATATTTATCCATCAAAGACAATTCGCGTACATTGGAAGTAAAATACTTGTAATGAAACTATTACTTTTGAAATACAGTCAAACACAGAGTCCTAGCCAAGATACAGCTCAGAGTATAAGCAGTTCTGTTATCGTGGCAAAAATTAAATAAAAACTAACTGAAGTAAAAACTCCAACTGAGTGCCAAAGGAACCTTCAAACTTAAAACTTAAGCAACATCAAAACGTTTTCATTGCCAACGAGTCGGAAAAGTAAAAAGAAAAAGAATTTCCTGAAAACTTCCAAACTATTTAATTAAAGCAAGGAGCGCTTGGAAATCCTGGGATGTACAAAACTCGAGTGAAATGAAGGTTTCTGCAAGCAAACACACTTTCCGGCGTGGCTCGAGAGATATTCAATGTCACTTGCAAAGAACACTTCGACCCAGATAATAACATTAGAGGGAGAAATAGATGCATAACTCTTTGTGCTATGAAATGAAAGCAAGCAAAATTTTTCGAGATAAACCGAACAAAGCTCACTTGTTTTTTTTTTTCGGGGGACGTTGCAGAGGGGCATACAAGCGAAGCCAGCAGCATCAGGTCGCGACGTCCGACCTCGCTCTCTCCAACGACGACGAGTTCGATAATCAGGTATCAAAGTTCTCGCGATTATTAACTTAAAAAAAAAAAAAAAAAAAAAAAAAAACCTGAAAAATCTTGATTAATATAAAATTAAACAATGACAATCTCAATAACACCAGCACAAATGTTTTTTGTTCTCTTTCCTCCCTCCTGACTACATCATCGTGAACTTCACTCGATCACTTTTCTTTTCACGTCACCATACATTTTCTCAATCGAATCCAACATGCCATGTAGCAGAGTTGTAAAATAATCATTATTACCGCACTATGTACTATATACAAAATCTGCCCTCAGTGATTACAAAATTTCATCTTAAAGAATCAAAAGATATTACAACAACATGCTATTTTATTATCAATAATATTTTTTATATTATCAATAAATAATTTTTCTTAAAATAATAAAAAAAGCTTTGTAGAAACTTCCTGAAAAAATAAAACATTTTTATTTAAAGTATAAAGTATATTTAGAACATAAGTTGTCTTAAAGAAAGCAGTATTTTAATCGTTAAAAAAAATTTATTTGGATCGTTATTATAACATTTCTATAATTTTTAGGGATTTTCTAAGACTTGTAATGTAAAAACAAAAAATAAAATTCAAAAATCACAAAAAGATCGTCTTTGTATGACAACTTTGAATTCTTTGATTGAAATTTAAAAGTCATTGGAAGCAGATACTGTAAATGTTGGACTGTAATAATAGTTTTAATCTATTTACACACAAATCATCCGTTACATTTTTGTACTTAAAAAAAATTAATTATTTCAATATACTCTTCAACGATTTTTCATGCAAAAACTGAAAATCAATGAAAAATATGTACATACTTATTAACTTTATTTAACTAAGTTCAAGCCTTTTAAAAAAAATAAGGTATATTTTGCAACACAGCATACAATGCAATGTGTTCTCTATCAAAATCTACAATTTTTAAGACATTTTATGCTACATTTTTGTTCTAAAATTTTTATCAATTTTTAATTGAGAAATAATTACTTATCCACTAATGTTGTAATTCTTAAGTAGAAATGTCTCGAATACAAATACATCATAAAAATAATTGGTTATTTTTATTCAATCAATAGTTAAAAATCGATTTTACAGTAATAAATTTTTAAATTACAAATTTTATTATGCAATGGGTGATTGGCTCAGTAATTAAAATTTATACAACTCTGCTATACACCATACATCTCCGCACTCGATTCATCATCATACTATACACTTCAGATCATTAAATAAACTTCATTTTTTCCTCGAAACGTGTGTTAAAGCGTTGCATTTTCTACCCTGATCCTGTGCTTGCAGGATTATGATGAAGAGATCGACGGCGAACGGAGCGGACGGCGTCACAGTTCGCCTGGACACTCACGTGGTAACCGGGACTACCTGCACCACCACATGCACGCCGACAATTTGGTAAGTCTCATCAAGTAATTCGTAATCTGTAGTCCAATTTTTTTTTCTTAACGTCTAAAAAAAAAACAAAAGTGCAAGGCCTTTGATCCTTGGTTTTTATGTATTCAAAAACGGGACTTCGAAGTGACGAATGTGGTCGCTATAAAATTATTTCTCCAACATATCCACACTCGGCGACTCGAAGGTCCTGTAAAGTACTTAGAACTTTCACGTATCAAAGTTACGATTTCAAGAAGAAATAAGCAACCTTCCCTGCCATCGTACAAGACAATTATCTCTATTTTACCCGTAGGTCGTAGAAGAGAAGTTATTATTGCTGTATCGTAAGATTTTACGTGTTAATTTTAGAGGTAGATTTAATGTGTCACTATGATTATCGTGAGTAACATACACATATTCATATGTTAGCATTAATTATTCATAAAGTATTAGCTGATTCATCCAAGTACTTATACATTTAGTTAGTTAAGTAATAATAGTTGTTGCCTTAGGCTGTTAATATTTTTGTAGGACCTACATATACATTCGAATATCTTATAACACTGTATGACAAAAAAAATCGAGACACAAATTAAATGCCTTTCATAAAAGAAAAATGTTTTGAATAAACTGAAGCAAGGGAGGATATAATTATATATGTATACGTTTATGTTCAATTCCAAGCTTGTCATTTGCCGGCGAGCAAAGTCTCAGCCGTACAAACGGTGGTTCTAAACACTAGTCAAGGCATAATATTTACGGAAATAGATAGTAGTGCCCACGAACGCATAATCCTTAAATAAAAATCCCACCATAAGATAGAGACGTTAAACTTTTTTTCTTGTAATAATAGATGTAGTAACGTTAATGAAAATTCAATGGAAATTTTTTTTTTTTTAAGATTTTCGATTTATTTGCATTATGCAGCTGCAGACGGCAGCGCTTCGCTGTCAGAGCAAGGGAAGGGAGGAAGGTTGCAGGAATTTTTCTTTTCATGAAATTCCTCTTGATCTTCCGCAGAGAGGGAGAAAGCGAGGATGATACGTATACATGTACAAGGCATGTAACTCGGGTTACGCTCACGCGGGCTCTTATCTCTTCTTCGCTTGAGTAATTGAACGGCGAGGAGTACGTGTACTTATGTGCGGTGTAAGAGAAAAAAAAAGAAAAAGAAGCATAAGGGAAAAGGGGAGTTTTAATGACGAAACTATCAGTTTCACGGATCCACCGCGGCCGTGGGGATGGATTTTGAAACTTTTTTTTTTCAAACGAGCTGATTGCTTCTTCGTGGACGATTTTTTTTTTTTAAAGCTGGTATGTTGGATGCAGCTACGTTTTTTTGTAGTAGTCGTGAGCTGAAGGCCGGTTGATGCTTTTTCGAACGGACCGCCTGGGATTGATGTAATCGATCGAAGTGGCATTAGCAGTGACGTGGATGCCATTTTTCTGGAGTAATCTGGGCTATGGCTATGTGTGAGATGGATTCCAAAGTGTCTTTGAAACCGATTTCTTCTACATACGACTTGTTTAAAATTGTCTATTTGATTTTAAGCATGTTTTTTTTACTAGAAAACAAAATTATTATTGATCAATGACGCGAACCTGTAACATTTTATACATCTTTAGTAAAACGAAGAAGTTAAAAATAAATAATGAAAATATCAAACTATGTTTTATCTAAGTACATAGAAGTAAGTGTAAATTTTTTTAATCATCAGAAAAATAATTTGCACAAGTATATTAGTTTGACTGGTAGCCCAGTATTTACAAAACATGTTTATTTTCTTCAACGAACCACACGAACGTAGTTTCTTCTTAAAAAATTCAAGTAACGTAGAAATGCAAAATTATGGCTCAATGATCATAAAATAATTAACAAAAGTTAAATCGTACGGAAAAGCACAACCAATGTATACGAGATGCTTAATTTAATTAAAAAAAAAAAAAAAAATTCCCATTTATGCCAATTAAAACTTTGAAAATCGGTTAAAATACTTTACTTGCTAAAATGAATGAACAGAATTTCCGAATCGCCAACAATTTATGCATCAAACAAGGCATTGTGATAAACTCTTACTCTAATTTCATGAAGAAATAAATAAAAAAATACGAATAAGTGATAGCATGTGTTTCGCGAAGCCTCGAAATTCTATAAACGCCATGCATACTCAACTGACTTAGTTATCTCAGCTTGTATCTTCATAAATATCAAAAACACCGTCAGGGGTGTATGACATGCTAATTAAACCATTACTCCTGCCTCGGCTCCTGCGCACGCACGAGTCCTTACATCGTTCTTTTTTGACGTCTGACACTCTCTACTAGTACACCGAGCCCTCAGCCAACAACTCGAACCAAAAAAGAGAAAATTAAAAAAATCTCCACCCATGAGATTGATTATTCCCAAGAAAACATCTGTGTAAGTCCCTTACATGGAGGAGGGGGGGGGACCAATTAAAGAAGTGTAAGCAGTAACGAAGATGCGGCTAATTAGTCGTCAAACTCTCGCACGGCTCCGGCCTTTGATCAACGCGCACCACGAGAAGCCTCCGAGAATGAGGAAAACCTGCAGCGATTGCGCCCTTCGTTTTTCCCTCCTTCTCTCCGTAAAATTAACAGGTTCATGGAGGATTGAGTATACGTGCTCCTACAGAGTTCTGGTGAGATTAACCGATAACGAGATTTTGTTCCTTGTAATTATGGCCGCGGCTGTCGGTTCCATCCAAGCCCCCACCTATTTCTTGCACTTATTTTGCTGAAGGGCGATTTTTTCGAGATTTTGCGTGTACATTAAGTGGTGGCAAAAGATTCTTGCTTTGAACTATTCACTCGGAGAGTGTTTTCAGCACCTGAAATTCTCGAGTAACATAACTCGTACTGTTTTGTAGTGGGATTCTCCAAAAATTCCAAAAATATTTCTCTCCTTTGGCGAAAAATTCGAAGTAAGTGCATGTACAATTTTACGGAACTGAAATCTTAGTCAGTTGTGTACGTACATACTAAATTAAACAATTACTGACAAGTAGAATCAACATTTCGAAATTTTTGGTTTTTTCAATGACTATCTGACAGGGGAAATTCCAAGATAATTGAGACTTGAGGTCATGCAAAGAAAGATATTTTTAAAAGAATCATAAATTACACACGACTTAAAAAATATATAAAGATTCTAAGGAAACATGAGCTCGAGAGTTTCGTTTTTCGAAAATACTTTCAAGCCTTGAAAAATGTTTTTAAAATTTTTCTGATTGAGTAATTTTTTGTTTTTTATGCTTTCATACGAAAAAATTAACGTAAAACTTAACGAAGTAAGTACCTATAGGTACTACAAATTTGACTCTCAAGTTTCATTTTGACGAGCTCATAAAACCTTAGAAATATTTTAATTGCTTCTTATTTTTATAATTAATACAAAGTACAGTAACGTATACTTTATTATTGAAACTCAATATTTAATACTTACGAAACAAAAAAAAATAGACATTATGAATCGATGGTTCATTACGATTCAATAATTATCCTTGGATTAAATCGTTAAATCACATAAAAATTATAATATTCTCACACTGCACAAGCGTTGAGTTATAAAGTCCATTCAATTTTCTTTTCACTTTTTGGTTGTTTCTTGTCCATCCTAAAAAGATTTTTTTTTAATTTATTCGATTTATTGATATAAAAAAAAAAAACTATGTCTCTTTTTTATACAACTATTTATTTTATTTCTTTACACAATTACCGCGATGATTAAGTAATAAATACATTTTTTTGCGATGAATTATAAAATCTTACGCCTACAGCATATACAATTATTTAAATGGAATGATAAACAACAATATAGTATGAAATTATTGCATAAATGAAACATAGTGTGAATATTTACAGAGTTGGCATATTATGCATGAGTAATTCGAGTTCGTACTGTATATGCAACGGGTTGTTGTGGGATCGTTGATGAATTTTGTAACCACATGATACATTCGTCATTCATATTCAATGTTAAAGTACAATGATAGCATTCAAAGTATTATTTTTATCAATCAGAAACAAAATTTATGACTTAAATCCATATACATCCATCACAAGATCATTTTTTTGTAAATTCCAATCAAACTTGGAACAAAGTGAACGTACTTGTACAACACATTAAAATTTATCATAAAACGATTGACATGAACATTAGCGTAAATGAAAATCCGAATACTGACACGGAAATCAAATACATTTTAAAATAATTTTTTATCGAGGATGAAAAAAATATTTCCCCTCTGCTAGATATTTCGTTTGATCATTTAAACAACTGTAAATTGAATCTTAAATATGGAGTATTTCGAGTATTCGTAATTTTCGGGCTCGTAATCAACGAAATTGAATGTACCAACTTCAAATGATTTATTTATTCGAAACTGCTGACGCGACAAGCTGCCGCATACATATAGCATACCCTCAATGACTTCGTATAACTCGATGAGACTGAATTTTTCAAAGTAATTTTAAAAGAAGGAAATTGTCTTCAGTCATGTTATCATGCAAAAACACTCAGATGCGAAAACGGATAAACGTACGAAGCTTCAATTTTTTACGATTCTAAAATTATCTGTTAAATAGCACTCGTTCAACATCACGCGTGATTCGAGTCCGATGCAAAAAAAAAAAAAAAAAAAAAAAATGTAAGAGTTACAAATACGCGTATGTACTCGCAGCTCAAAAAATTAAAAACATCGTGATTTCATCAAGTCCCTCTAGACAATTAATGACCCCCATCGATCCCGCATGACAAAGCCGTTATTCCCGTGCCCGAGAATACCCCACGTCCACTCTTACAACCCAGCGCCGCAAAGATCCAAGCCAACGCACATCATTAGAAGCAAAAGAAAACCAAAAATCGCACACTCGCTCTCGGACTAGTCTCTTCCTCGCGATGAAAACGGCGCTCAGAGCTTGTCCTGCAGCGCCTGGCGCAGCTCTTCGGTCGCCTTGGCTATCTCCTGGGCCACCTGTCTAGCCTCCGGTCGGATGTGCTGGACGCTCGAGTTTGACCTGCGCACCGAGTTCCCGCTCCCGAACTTCGGTCTCGGGATCCTCACGCGTTGCACGTCGCTCAGCCAGGACTCCATTTTTTCTCTCTAAAGTGTGGGGCTCAGCAAACCTGAAATGAATATACATATGCTGTGAGATAAATGTTTATTCTCTATTTACTGTCTATAACCATCGAGTACAAATTCCGAAAGGATAAAACGTCGTGTGCATGCGCGTACTTTTGGAGGTGCTTTGTTTTTCTTTCGAGTCAGAAAGTGTTTTCACTTGAATCAAAGTGATTTTGTTTCGGAAGCGTTTCTTTTGCGATGGGTATATATTTATATACGCGGTCGATTCAAGGGGAAAGTGCCGGTTTCTTTGTTCGCGCGAGCGTTATTAATATTTCCGAGGCGTAAAGTAGAGCGCAAGGCAGTATATAGCGATGGTTATTCCGAAAAATCGGAGCTTCGTTTTCTCCTTTCGGTATGAATACGCCAACCTGCAATTACCAACTTTCCATTGACACGTGTACTTTTATTCTTTGCGCAACTGTATGTACCCGCGGCAGTTACGTACACACATCAAATTAGGAAACGGAAAGCATATTATATACCAAAGCTGCGTACGTCTCAGACGCGTCCTCGAAGCTTAATTTGTCGACTTGTTGAACGCATCGATTACCTATCACAGCCACACGATTAATTCAACGCAAGCCTTGAGACCGCGATTTTACACGAGGCGTGGGTACGCCATTCGAGTCACTTGAGCTATTAAAATTTACCGAAAGAAAAAAAAAAAACTCTGTCGAGCGCCTCCCGCCTTGTCCGCACGGACAAGAGAGGAGTGCCCGGACGAAATGGCCATCGAGAGTTGGCTCAATCCAACACAGCCTTGATGGGGCTCTCATCCTTTGATAGCTATATGTATGTCCACGTCAGGCGACTGCACTCAATAACAAACGAAGCGATTACGCGGACAGCCATTTAGCATCGGCTGTGCATTAATTGCTGGTCTGGGTTTTGTACTTGATAAATTTGTCTCGGTACGGTGCTTCGATGGAAAAAGAGATGAAGAGAAGATGTAGGACCGATTGTCAAGGTGGGCCCGAAAAAAAGAGGGAGAGAAGATGGATCATCGGGAGTCACTGGGCCATCGCAAAGACGACAACGATGGGCTCCGCATGGTAATCGGACCCATCATCTTAATTGTAGGCCGACTCGCTCGACGGACCGCGACGGCCGGCTCTCCTTCTCATCGCGTGTATCTCAATCTTCCGTGCGACGATTAGCAACGCCATTTCTGTTTTATTTATTCATTTTTTTCCTCACTGTTGTTGATGTTCCCTTTTACAAGCGCTTCCTTTTATATAAATGTGTTACGCGCCATGTACGGCTATTTTCACGACGATTATTGTGATTCGCGCAAAGAAAAACCGCGACTTTCACTCAACCCGTGAATTCAAAGTTTACGAGAATTCCCATCCATTTTGGGGTGAACACGCTCTGATTAATCATCAAATTCATCTGCAAAGTCTTTATCAACAAACTAACTCCTTCACTGTTCAATGTTATTCAGAATCTTCCGCGCCCACACGCCTGACTTTCTAATCCAGACCATCAGCACTCATCCCCGCCAATCTCGCAGGTCTATTATATTTCAGCTCCCCTCAACTTACGTTGGGCCCAATTTTTCTTTTTTTTTTTCCACTCGTCGCGAAAAACTCGCTTTCTAAGCCGCATTTGTATATAAATATACATCATAGTGCAGGTACACGTAGATTTGCAACACGAGTCTGCGGCAACCGCTTTCCCTGGTGTTGCACACACATTCAGAGGACACAGTATAATATAAGGTCTCGATTACGAGGTAGATCTATATTATAAGTTATACACGTCGCGGTAGGCGGGCGTACCTCGTTATCGTGCCAATATATAAGTATATCAAACTATAAAGCGGGCAGGATGTGTAAAAACGGAAACAAGATCGTTTCGATGTTCCAACCGATCGGGAGCCGATCTCGGTATTTCTGCTTGCGACTAATTGGACGCTGTGCTTTTCTACACAGCAGCAAAATGAAAAAAAAAGGAGGAAAAATCTTTGTTTTTCGCGATTAATTAAATCGTTTTGCGCTCCTTATGATCCGTTTATGTAAGTTTAATTGAATTCTTTTGCCGGCGCTGTTAATTAATACCATGTTTAATGCGTTTAAGGGATTTTCCAGCTGACCACGTTCAAGGAACTGTTATATTCGGTGTTCAATTAAAATCTTGCCACGAGTCCTTACCAGAGCTGATAAAGCAACGTGTGCACTAACATCTTGTTTTTGCGGAGAAAAAAAGAAGAAGTGGTGGTCAAAAAACCCAAAAACGAGAGATCGGGGGACAGCAGTGCGAGGAAAGCGAGAAGAAAAAAAAAAAAAAACGAAAGCGGAGAAGAAAAAAATAAGATTGTGACAAGGAGGGCTGGCGCGCACGCGACAACGAGGTGGATATCCAATTAGCGGCGTGTACCTACGATGCGCAGACAATCAGTCCTGCGTTTGCTCGGAAGGAGGAGGGACAAAAGGAAGGAAGGTGATGGGCCAACGCTCCTTTGTTTCCTCCCAAAGAGAGCGTTACGCGATCTTGTTTACGTGAGCCGCTGCTGCCGGTAAAAGCTCGCCCGCTACATCTCTTTTTCTCACGACGAGGAGGCATAACGTCTTGCATCCAATTAGCGGCTCTGTCTGTATACTTCTCGTGCGTGCACTCTTTTTCCGCGATACGACTTTTTAGTGCTCTTTATTTTTAAAGAGCACCCCATGGCGAGTCCCTTTTTTCGCGTTTGTATTCAGAAAAATTGGGTGCACTGTGCTTTGCGTTTGCTGCTTAGGAGATTTTTATCCGGTATAAGATATCAGTGCCCTGTTGTAACAAAAATGAAATTCTATAGTATCATCGCAGAAAACTCTATTCTTGATCTAGATTTCGACTTCTTGAGTAAATCCCCTTTTTATTTGTGCATTTGAAAACGTATAACCTTTTTGCCTGCCCCTTTGAATAAAAACTTTTCATCGACGCGCAACATCTAGCCCAACAACAGCAGCACTGGTAAAAATGATAAAAAGCAAGTGAGAGGAAAAAAAAAAATTAATCACAAAAACCGGTTAAAAAACACAAATTCCCAGACTCGAGGCTCGAAGTACCGTAAATACGCGCAGCTGTTGCTCGTACACATGCGTACAGTTAGGCGCCACATTATGCGCAGATGTGTATAAGTACGATGTCTTTGAACAGCTTACACACGCGAGCTGGTTTTTTTTTTTTTTTTTTTTTCGTTCCATTAAACTGCATAAAAGTGCTAGACCGGTGAATGCGTTTCATGGATCGAGAGATTTTTTCAAGCTTCCCAGAGACGCTATAGGTAAGCTTGTAGCGTAGGAGATTATGTAGTTGTCTGTCTCGTTCGTTGGTATTAGTTTATACCTTTAGAGCAGTGCTGAATGAATGACGAGCATATAAAAGCACAAAGGAAATAAACGAACCAAAAAAACTTACGCTCAACAAGTTGACGGAAACGCACTCAATAATCAAGAGTTTGCAGTAATTCTTACTTTTTATTTTTTTACAAGTCAATATCTGTTAATATGAGCAATATAAAAAAAAAACTCCCAGGAAATCCTTTTACGTAATAACGCCTTTTTTGCACGCCGACTGAGCATCGATTAAGAAATCGTTGCGCAAAAAGAAACAGAAGCCAGAATCTAAGGTAGATATGGGGAAAAAAGGTGTAATATAAAATTTCGAGACTCACCCATCGTAAACAATTGTGAAGCTGAAAGCAAATTCATAAAACCTACACCCATGCTATTACTAATTCAAGCACTCGATCTTGAAAACGTTGCCGACAAAACCAGACGAGGCATCAAGCAGTATCACGATAAGTACCTCCCTTCCCAAATAGCACCCAAAAAAAACCGCGGTACACGATGTGAAAAAAAAAAAAAAAAAAAAACACCCTCACAGCCAAGGGCAAAATAATACAAACGAGCGAGGCCAATGAGCATTAAAAATGGGGGATGTCGGGGGAAGAGGTGGAATGAGAAACCCGGACTCGAAACACAGCAGCAGCAGTAACAACAGCTCGCGTGTTTGCGCGCGCTCGATAAGATCTCGATTCGAATATACATGCATACACGTGTCGAGACAGCCGTACACATAGCACAGTATCGGCCCTCCCTTGGATTAACGGAGCGCAAGATTAGATAAATCGAAAGGGGGCCCCGCGGACTTCAGTACTGACACCCCCGTCCCTCGCGCCCAATATCCGCGCTACACCACCTCCTCCGGCGCGGGATATCCGATTTCTCGACCGGCTGCTTTCTCGCGCTCTTCGGTCCGTTCCTTCCCTTTCTTTTTCTTCATTCGCTGTTCTCTCGCTCTTCTTTTTTCGAAAAGGCTTTTCAAGACGCTCCCACGCCAACAGCTCGTGATTACCTCAGTGCGTGCGACGCGACGAAGCTGTTTCAGCTTGTGACTTGTTGGTTGCACAAAATCGTTATACAATTGGCGTTGTTACGAATTAAGTATAATACGAAAGCGCTTGGGTTGTTGCACCCTGCAGTCGAGGGAGTCGCACTTTTTTTTCTCTCTTACTCTATGTATCGATGCGGATGCGTGTTTTTGCTCGCACGAAAGTATCATCCTTATTGAGATGAGCCTCTACACTAAGTACAATGACTTGTTGGTAGTAAGATTTTTTTTTTTTTATCATAAAAGAATCTTGAAAATTTTCTTTGAATAAATTAAATAAGTGCGGATGACACTTGTGCAACTGGGTTAATTATTGTACTACACATATCAATGTTTCATCGAAGTGTCTCTAAAATAATCTGTATTAAGACATTCATGGTCGCCGTCGTACATTCGCAGTAATAAAATTATACGATATGCAGGATAATTAATTATTCATTAGGAAAATGGTCATACTATTTTGAGATATTTTTCTCGTAAGCTATAACAAGTAAGTTTAAATTAATAGTTGTTCATTTGTTCTGATCTGGTCACTTGCCATTTGTACCAGAGGGTGGGCTGCAAACTCATCATTATTCATCTACTCACATCACTGAGTGAAGTAACGTTAATGTAGAAGATTTGACTTGAAGTAAATTATTTTAAAAGTAGACAATATCACGATGGCTTAGATAGTGACAAATTCAAGCAAAACAATATTATGTACAAATATTGGTGTGACAATTCTATTGGTAAAAGTAAATTACGACATCGGGGCACATTATGTTTTTGAGCAGGTAAATAATCAGTGGCGTGGATCATAGCAGCAACAACGAGAACAGAGTAAGAAGGAAACAAAAGTGCAGATAACGTCTTTGACACAATTCCTAATAAAATAAGCGTCTACTGTGTTCCAGACAATGTTGTCGTACAGACAGACGTAGGGAGTGAAAAAAAGGCTCCTCTATCGCAATTCAGAGTCAGCGGTACACCTACACCGAGACTTGAATTTCAGCCGGTGACTCCGTTTTCCGGATTTACGGGGCTCATGTAGTGCCCACACTCACACGCGAAGCCTACACGTTCAACGGGTCCTTTTATTTATCGGAGTGCATTTTTATTCAGAACGGCCCCTTTCGCGCGAAACGCGCTCGACGGCCGAGAGTAAAAGTGAAATATCGGGCCGCATAAATTCCACCCAAACTGCCCTAAGAGCTTACTATACGTCTGTAACGCGAGCGTGTTGGATACGCGTGCACATTTGCATGTTGGCCCATAATAGGTACAGTTGAGGCAAACGTTACGTAAGTGCCTCTATATTAGCGTATGAAGGGTCGCGAGTACGAGCGTATGATGCATCGTGCACATACTTATATATGTATATATAACACGTGAAGAGGCTCAAAACGCGACGACGACGTAAGACGATGCGCGGGGCTGTTCAATGAGCGTAACGGGCTTGCAAATTGCGCTGACTGCGCGGTCGAGATTGTATACTCGTGTCATCTCGACGCTCTTTTTTGATTGTTTTATACAGTGTTCAATTGCCGTACAATTGTGTTCTGGTAACAATGGCATGTAATGATAAGAACTGATATTTCATCGTCATCAAACACAATTATTTGAAAAGGGGCAAAGTCATCCAACTTGAAATTATAATGCAAGTAATGCAGTGACTTCCCCTGGAAATCGGTTAAAAATCGGTTCTAACAACAAAAAAAAGAGAGCACCTCCAAAAGCAAACGACAAAAATGAAGCAAGCAAACGAGGATATATAAAAAATTTTTTTAAAAATCACACCAACCTTCCTTGGTCCTCTCGCTAGTTCCTCCTCTATATGCCCAAGTTTCTGTTCTCGTCGTATACGTCCCAGCTACAACGTCGTCGCGTCGAATCTTAATACCCGGAGCTCGGACGTGCGTCGAATCGAGGTCGAAGTAGAAATCGGCAACAAAGCGAGTCGGTGTTGTTTTTGTGCTCGGGTGCCGGCAACAGGGCGCACAAGAAGAGTGAAATAGAGGAAGCAGATTAAGTGTGCAAGCCCGACAGTGCCGCGGACTCGACTGATTCAGGTGAGGCCCCGGAGAGCCGTGAAGTAGTAGCGCGCCGTCGTCGTCTCTCTTTCCATCTCCTCTACTCCTTTCTCTGTCCGGACGACGTATTACATTATATATAGGTATAACTAGTGTGCACAGCAGCTCACCAACACGAGCGCTCGCCCGAGTGTACGATAGTTATAGTATAGTCATGGTATAGATATAGAAGGAAGCCTGCCACTATGTACCTGGAGAACAGAGGCCAAGAGTAGCTCTGGAGGAGAAAAAGGAGCTGCCGCTAAGAAAGAGAGAAACAAGATAATCGGGCGTGCGTGTATGGAACACGTTTTGCGTGTGTATATATTTTATGAGACGCAGTGGGTGATGCGTGCGGGAGGTTGGGGAAGAAAAGGAACAACGAAAGAGGAAAAGAAAGGTGGAAAGAGAGAAAGAGAGAGGACTAGTGCGCATTGTTGTAAAACTTTATGGCGGAAGAAGATCTGCTCGGTTGTCGAGTTTTGGCGACGGATCAGCCAGATTTATGCACTGGAGGTCACAAAAACGATTTTGAACTTTCCACGAAAGTGGATCCCATGGAAAAAAAACTATGTTAACCGGTATGGATGGGTGTGCGTGTGATCGGGATGCGATCGGTAGACTTGAAAAACGCGCGTCTCGTGAATGCACATACTTTGAGTCTGTTTTGCCTCCTTCGTCTTCTTGGTCTTTGCCCAAGAGTTTGTGCTTCTTGTATTTTATTCTTCAATCTGGTTTGCACAAATGGGTCAATCAGAGTGAAGATACTCATACGTCGCTTGTAATGGTTAAAAAAAAAGGATTTCTACAAGAGATACTATGAAATGATACCTCATAAACCTATATCGCATATCGAAATTGTTAAAATGTGTTTTTCAAGTGTAGAAAAAACGTGGAAATGTTGAAATCTGAGAAGTATCAATAATAGGCGGGATAAACGATTAGCGTAATGTAAGACTTCGCACTGATAAGGTTTTTATATGAAATAAAAAGTCTCCTAGAACAGTTTGAGTTAGCGTTCGTTTGGTGAAGGTAATTATTCCGCTCTAAAAACATTTGAATCGTTTTATTTACGGGAGGAAACGCTTTTGCGTTGGTAATCACTGGCTTTTAAGGAGAATCGTTAAAGTACGTCCGGTAAAAATGTGCCAAAGTATTTTTCGTCGAAATCCTTTTTACAGCCACGAACACTCATATATAATAATCGGAAGATTCTTCAAAAGCCAATACTCCTGTTAATACAACTCGTCTTCTTCTATACCAAAGTATTTAACGTCATTCGTATACAAAAAAGATACTTTGGTATTAGACAGGTCTTATCGAATACCTTAAGATGTATCAAATGCAAAGTTTAGTGTTACACGAAAAAAGCCTCGGAAGCTGGGCCATAAATTATTAACGATTTCAGACTGATTACTTCGTTATATAAACGGTCGTCGCAGCCGAGCACGTGTGTTCCTCCACTCGTCTCCAATTCACGTCTGCATCGCAGTCTCGAATTCTTAAATAAACGCAACACTATAAACGCGAGCCACCGTAAAAGCTCATTAAACACGCATTAAAGCTATTGCATACATATCAGAGGGCGTTAACGTCACATAAATCCAGCCCGGCGGCCGGCATCATTGTTTACGACTTTCATAAAGCGTTTTTCTAGCTTTATCGGGTTGACTTACGGCGTCAGGTCTTGTCGGGAGTGTATTGCAAAAGGGGCGAAAGAAACCAACGTGTAAGTAGAAATCGGTAATTGAAAAACGGTGAACATAGCCGGAAGGTGGTACGCCTTCGCTAGCGCGTGTGTATACGCGTATACGAGCGTTAATTGAATCGATTCGAAGGTCTCATCTTCCAGGCTCCCTATCCCTTTCTCTCGGTCAAGAGCGAGAACCGAGGAGTCACACACACGTACAAGCGATCGGCAGGGCAGCCGTAGGCCTTGGGTCGATCGACGCAGCATCGTATTCATGCACTTCCGTATTATTGTTGCAGAATCCCCAAGGTGTTCTTCTCTCTCCTTAATGCAAACACCAATGTAATTTTATATTTATACCTTTCCTATACACGGATATCAAGTGCTTGACGCGCCGATTTCTCGTCGAACGATCGAATTTCGACACCCACGATCTCTCTCTTCTCCATATACTTATTGCTCTTTCGAGAGGGAAAGAGAGGAGCAGCGTAATTACCTCCACTCTCGTGTACCATCTGCGGCTTTGAAATGCTATTAGAATCGTATATGCACTCGAGCATTTGCATCCGAATGAGAAAGCGCGAATGAACACCGAGAGTCTTTAGAGGTCTGCGGTGAAGGGTGGCTATACATAAGATGGAGAAAGAGAGAAAGAGAGACCCGGGTAATTGACTTGGGAGACTGTGTTTGTTGCTTTGTTTTCAAGGGTGAGGAAACGCTGGTGCTTGTAGCCAAGTGTGTATCACAAGCTATTAGCATTGGATGCATTTTTTGTCAAAGAAAAGTATGAGTACACTGCTATTGAAAGGAAAAGAAAAAATGTTTTCGTGAAAAAAGAAAAATATTGTTTTAAAAGCTTACTATTTTGTGATTATTTCGTATAATTACCTTACTCCATTTTATTTCTATTACTTCCGACGGATACTGCTATCTGCTGCTAACAGTACATGTTATCTATCTTTTGTAACTAATCTCCAATAGCTAAACAAGCAAGAAATTCCACACCATTTATTACGCTTATTAAAAAAAAGTTGGCTGTCAAAACATGTAAATAATCAGATTGTGTGCTCAGTAGCATAACAAATTTGCTTGTCTGATGGAACTCAATTTAGCTAGGTTTTCGCACAATCTTTGTTTGACTGTAACGTTTGAACAAATGCACAAATTGACAAAATATAAAAGTGCTATTTAAAAATTTTGATATCAGCTTTGATTCCAGCCCAATTAAAGTATCTTAATATCCAACACAGTTATGGCCGTGTTAAATAGCGTTAAAAGCCAAAAAACTTTTTGAAAATTTCGTAATAAAAAAAAATAAGCAGCAAATTAAAACACATGATATTAACATTTTTACAACACCTCTTAAAATTGAAAATATTTTGGGTCTTTCAAAAATGATCTCACTTATATATAGTTTCATATCCATCCATTAAAATTATCCGCACCAAACCGAGTTCAAGCAGTATTTGTATAGGACACGATTTATTACGGCACTATACTCATACTATACGCAAAAACAAGTCTTTCATCGCGCTCCAGACTCCCTGTACCCAAACCGGCCAGGGGCAGCCAGAGTAAATTTGCGCATTGAAACATCATGTACGGTTACAGTTAGGCGCTTAGGACTTGATAATTTATGCAAGCAAAAAATCCACGCCTTGAGCCTGACTGAGCCAGCGTACACGCATAATATACGCACAGCCAAGGAAGTCTACTGCGCAATTGCCGAGAAGAAGAAGAAGTAGTGTAAGTAAACAAAAAATGAAAGAAAGAAAGATAAAAGTCAATCTCGAGTAGTAAAAGGGGGGGGGGGGATCGGGAGGGGTGTTGAAAGGAAAAAAGGAAGCGAGACACCCGCTAACGGAAGAAGCGTGCATATAATATATGTATACAAATGTCATTAGAAACTGGCTGGTCGTTGGTCGTTGATCTTGCGTACTTAGTTGTGTGTAGGTATATTTAGGCTTTTACGCGTGCGACTTACACGCCCGAGAAATCGAGACGCCTACTTCTGTACCTTCTTCTTATTTTTCTTCCTCTTTGTCTTTGATCGCTGCTGCTTCACCTGGTTGGGTTTTATCCTCGTTTTATATACCAGAACTCGGGCTACGTGTGTAGCTTATTGTGTGCGTGTGTCCGTCCGTGTGCGCTCCTCTGACGTACGGGGCACGACTGGCACGAGGTCCCTGGTCTACTGGAATCCTTTCTCGGCCTACAGAGCAAAACTGTGACTCAGACGCTTGCCCTTTTTACCACAGAGTGTCTTTCTCTCTCTCTCTCTCTCTCTCACGTGAGTGTGCGTGCAGTGAAGGAGCGGCTACCGCAGTGTATAATGTGGACACATTTTATAAGTGGTCAAGATATCGCAAAGGGGTCCTCGATCGCTGTGCTCCTTTTTTTTTTTTTCATTCGGACACTGTGCTCTTGATGAGGTTTATGCGGTCGCCTATAGTGGCTGCTGCTCCTGTTTTTGTTGGGCTTAATAGGTGAGAGGAGATGTGGAACACAGCTCGTTATGCTCGAGCCACATTTTCTCGATGGATTTCCTCCCAAGGGATTATCGGCGAGTTGGCGAACAAAAATTACCATACTTTCGTTTCCAAGGGAGTTAAATTCACGCGCGCCATCGAGATATTGTAATTTTGTTTGCGTAACCTTTACGGATCGATTTTGTCGTAAAAACAAGAGTTTGGCAACCGATGACGCAGAACGAATTTCGTTGAATCTTTTTGAGAACGTATAATTTTTTTTTTTTTACCGTTTTTCCTGTTTTGTTTCAGCAAAATAATACAATTCTAAGCACTATTAATCATGATCATCCCACGAATGTTGAATAACCAATACGTAATCACCATTTAACGGATACGAACGTCTTATTTTTCTTGCACATATCTCAAAATGAGATTTAACTGACCGTTAATTTGTAACAGTAGACTTTACATCAAGGATTTTCATTTTCAGGGTTAAGTAGATTTTCCAGAAGACGTTTTAAGCGAAGCTTTCGACAAACATTGACACACACACATGTTTGGTTTACAGAAAACTAGATAGTCCTTCACCTCTTTGCATTACCAGCGACTACGCCTAGTCGTGTAATAAAATATTATGGGCTAAGGACAAGTCGACTTTAGCCCAATCGATGAATGATAAGACCGATTGTCGTTTCATATATTTATCGAACTTCCATGCAGTAGATAAGAAAACGACAGAATTTTTGTATTTTTACAACCCACGTTAGATCTTATCTTACATCTAGCATAGCACAAATAGCCGATATCCCATGGTTTATTTGCAAATCTCTCGATTTCTGCGCAGGTATAAGCACCTTGAAAACGATTAGATAAAATGGCACGACGGAATGGCATAAAGTGTAGATGATCTTATCGGCAGTACGGATTTTGTCCGACTTTGGCTTTCGAATATCACGTCGACGCAATCTGCACGTGAATAATCGTAAAATTACATAAAACGCTAGAACTTGCGTCTGTCGCGTATCGTTTTTGAAAAAACGTCAGCATCGTCGGACAAGAAAGTTACGAAATGCACGATTAGGACCTCTTTATTGACTTTTTAGCATGTCTTGAGCGTTATAAAAGAGTACATGACATGTATATATGCACCAGGGGATACGACAACACGATGTTACATAAAGTATCGATGATTGAAAAAAAATTTGGTCTGCTTCGCTAGTATTAAGCGCAAAACTAGACTGTCCCAAAATGTCGTTCAAGTGTCCCTGTCAACTTTGACTATGACATATCACGAGGGCGGGATTGTTTTTTTTCTTGTCCGGCACTCATACAAGTTTATTTATTAATTCATCGAACGATTTTACGAGACACGGAGTAAAAAAAAGGGGGTGGAAAAACTTTCGCAAGAGATTACTACGCGGTGCGTAAAGTGTGCCAGAGGTAACCTTGCTTCACTTGTGCAGTATCAAAATAAGGATAGTGATATTTTGCAATAGTTGAGCCAGAAATGAAGCAAGGGCGGAGGATATAGCGAAATCCACGGCGATTGTCACCCATATACCGCTAGTAGGTTAATACGTTGCACAAGCTTATAAGCTGTCACGGCCTATATATGCTGGTCTCTCTGATATCTCTTTGTCTCGACTCGAGAGTGTATTATCTCTCCGTCTCTCCTGTTAGCGGTTGAACGTTCGATCGGTGGAGGGTATGTTCGTCGAACGATGATAATAGAACAGTTGTTTATTGCGTCTTCGTTTTCTTATCGTCAATATGTGTTTTTCTCTCGTTTCTGGATTTTTCAATGCAGATGAAACGGAATCGGCCGTGCCTCTGTCAGTGATAACCAAGAGAAAAATAGAGGTCTACTTTTCAAATTTATGTTAATTTCACATGTGTGTACGGTATACGTTTTTTCACCGTGACACTGTAGCATTACAAAAATGCAGCACGAATAGATAGGAAATACTATTGGCTCTGCTAGCGGTGCGCGAGGATTATTGGAGATTTTTACCAGAAAAGTAATTTAATCCAAACATTAGCGCCAATTTCCAGTAGTCCAATATTGCGATTTTTAGTTCTAAATGGAAAAAAAAGACGTCAAGCATCAACTTACGCAACTCGCGCGTCGAAATTATCATCATCGCCGACCGTGTGCTTTCCATTCGCATTGGTTAGTATAAAGAGCGTCGACACACTTCCTCGTCGCGATATTGTCGAAGAAAGCCAGCGACGAACCAATAAAATCCGAGAACCCGTTCGTGCGTACGCGATCCCAACCGATTTTTCAGCAATGAAAGAAACAAATATAATAAGCCGACCACGCATATACGTGTCTTAAATAATAGTCGCGATCTCTCGCTGGGCGGTATATTGTATAAGCTGTAGATGGGAGATCTCGGAGAGAAAGGAGATCGGGAGGAAACGGCTGGTCGCTCTGCAACTTCGGCTTCGAACTTTTCGGTATCACCTGAGCAAACACGCGTCCACGCGAACGTAAGTACATGCACGAGGATATATATGTACACACAGAGTCAACACGATTGTAGGTACACGTGTATATGTATACCTTTGCATCTGTACCTATAGAAGTTGCATTACGAGGAGAAAGTCTTTCCTCTCTCTTGCTCTAGTCGTCATATGAGGCGCGTCTCTCTTTGTCTCTTTCTTTGTGAATAATATATCGTGTACGCGCACGTACAGAGTACAAAAGGATACATAAGCCAGAGTCCACTATAGAAATAAAGAGAGAGAGAGAGGGGCAGGAAGTAGGTCGATTGCTCACGAGAAACGAGGCATCGCGCCCGAGAAGGAGCCTCTCCATTGTGAGGATGACCGAGGTTAATCCGTTTTTCAGCGCCTTGGTTTTCTTCTCTTGCTCTTTTGAGACAGAAGAAGATTCCCCGCTCTTCCGCCCGTCCCCTGCAGTGCCCTCTCAGCTGCGTGTGTATACTCTCGGTGGGCGACTTTCACGATCCCTGCAATAATTGCTTAATTACATACTTACAGAAGAACCTTTCTCGTGTGCCTTTGATGCTCCGGAAAAAGCGAGCTCTTCTGCTCTACGACGCGTCTCATGGGAAGTAAGTAACCACTCAGCCTTCGGTCCGTTATTACCGGAGGAGCGCTTGAGTTTTCACTGGAGATGAAATTTATTTTGCCTGGCGGCAAATTCATCAAAATTGATCGGGTGTGATTCGAGCCAAGAGCTCCGTACTTATATTTCATGGAAACTCGATGGACTGTAAGTTGGGTTTTGACTGTTCAGTGCGCAGGAAAGCAAGGATGGATCGTTAATTATTTATTAGAGAGAAAACTTGTGGTATCTAATAATATCCCTGCGTAGTTGTGGGACGATAAATAATAACTGAAATCGTTGGATAGTGAATCGAGATAGAAGAACACGTACGTTTCCTCGTAAAAAAGTAATTATTCGCACAAAAGTTAATTAAAAAAAAAAAAAAAAAAAAAAATTAAGCAGAGATAAAACTTAGAAATTGCATTTTTCGGATTCGCTAACAACTAGAATCGAAACGCGAATTGAAATCGCCTCGAAACTTGGAAACCAAGGGAAAAAGTTCATTGTGCAAAATATTCATCATCCAAGTGGCTATACTTGGGAAAGAAAAGGAAAAATTGCACGCCCACGTATATAGCACGAGTCCTGGGCTGAGCATCGCTGCGTGCAAATCCGCAGCAGCGCACGCGATAAAAGTGAAACTCATCGAATCGGTGCTGATACGAAAGAGCTTGATTGGCGTATCTTTTGCTTTCCCTCCAGCAGTTAGTGCAGCCTCCTGTTCCTCATTTCACTTTTGTGACGTCTTTACATTACGTGTGAGTATATTATCAGACGATATGTGCGTGAGACATGAAATGCCTGTCTTTTTTTGTTTTGAAGGTTGACTTTGGTTTGGGGGAAAAACATATCATATTAAAAATAATAATAAGACTTCGTAAGTTGGAGTGGGGGTATGTTAGAGGTGTTTGACCTACATCGATTTTTATTCGAGGCAATGACTCGTTGATTTTTTTCCCGTTCGACGAAACAGCCCAACCTTTCTTTGGAAAGGAAATAAGTCGTTGGAGGGATTAAAGTTGAAAGGCACAGTTAGGATTGTAATTTTTTGCTATGAAAATTGATGGTTTTGGATGTACTAAACTTAGAAACATGTTATCACTAATGAGTTGTATTAAAAAAAAAATTTTTTAACCATTTTCGTAAGGATATTTAAGGAGGCTCACACTTTACTGTTTTAACAATCGAGCGTTTTTAATGAAATAGTATATTGTACTTATTTTATTTTTTAATTTGCATTTTAATTGATAATATTAAATCATCCACTACAAACATATAAAAAAATGATGTATTTACAAAAAATCCAAGGAAGTTTGATGTAACATCTCTGCTTCCAATATTACATAAGTAATAAATAATTATTACCTTGTTAGTTTTTAAGGGGTCTTTTAAATAATACGAAAGAAATTTTCCTAAAATGTATTCCTTAGAATTTTATTGTTTTTCATTGCAGACAGTGTTATACATGACATTTTCACGATACTAAAAAAAAAAAAATGCAAAAAAAGTTTATTATTTGAAATTTAAAAAAGCCCTTTGTTTAAAATAATATAAATATTCCTTGAAAGAAAAAGCTGATGAAAAACATCAAAAGCTCAGCATTTGTGACATGATAAATTGCATCCGGCAGAACCACCGACCAATTTCACGCATTGTTAACCGTGACGTGGTCGTACGTCTTATAAATTTTATTTTGTAACGATGTTATTGTACGAAGACTACGAAAATCGGAGGAAGGCAATGACATGCACTAAGCTAGCGTGACTAATCGAATCCTGCAAGTTTTTCAAAACATTTTTCTATTTGTTCAAAAAGGGTTACTTTATTAAACCCTTAGTCTCTTTTTGACAATTTATTTGGCATAGTAAAATAAAAATGTATCAATGTGGTGTTTTAATAATTTTTTCAGTGATTTTTATGCACAGTTAACAATAATAATAAAAATGATAAAAGTACTATTAATAACAAATTTTAACCCTATTTTTTTAAAAACGGTAGGATTTTTCAAAATAATGAAAAACCAAAGTCACTCCAGTCTATTAAAATTTTTTCTGAAACTCATTTATATAATTTATATAGATAAGAATAAAAAGTTAAATATAAGGAAAAAAAAAAAAAAAGTAATGCAACGGAGAAACAACGCATTGAACGAAAATACTAAAGAGAGGCATACAATAAACCAGCTGGTATAAGTATAGCGCGTATTCAGAAAATAATGCTGACCACGACGACAAAGACTGATTGATGTGTCTCTGTTTTTTTTTGCTTTTGTTCTCTGCTTGTCTCTGTGTCTCTCCTCTCCCCCTCGGCGTCAACTGCGTGGACCACTCACATACTTGCGGACCTCGTCAATTCGCTTAATCGGCACCGTCTTCCATGTTCGTATGATAACAAAAAAACAAAATGAATAATGAACCAAAATTGTATCATGCCCACGGAAAAAAAAAAAAAAAAAAAAAAAAAACAAGGAGGGCGACGATATGTGCGAGTGTAGTGACGCCGAAATGATGATCGGTAACGGGCCAAGACGGGATCGCGATCGCGGCGGCAATATCGAGGACGACGAGGACGAAGGCAGGGAGGAGAGGAGCTCGGAGAGTGGCGGTGGTGGAGGTTTCGGTGGTTGGAAGAACCACCTGCTTGGTGGGCTGACCCAGCGCGTCAAGTCCTGGTACTGGGGCGCCAGACCCCTCGTAAGTCCCGTCTCTTCTCTAGCTCTCTCTCTCTCTCTCTCACACACACACACTTTCACCTTTTTAACATATTTTATGTATATCACTCGTCTTTTTTTTCGTTTGTTTTTTTTTATTACTTTCGACAACCCTCTCTCTCTTTTTCTCTCTCTCTCTCTGATTCAATTTCTTTTTATCTCTTATTCTGAACTCGAACTCTTTCAAAATACACGTCTTCTTGGTGTCTTCCAAAACTTGACCTACTTTTTTTCACTATTCTTGTCTAAAAAAAGCAGACACTTTCTGTGTATCTATTGTAAATCTAAACTTTTTTCGATTTTCTCGCACTTCGTTGTACCTCACATAATTCACATTTTTTATTTTTATGGACAGTTTGCGTGTGTACTTGTAACAATATTTTATCTTCAAGAAATCACAGTCAAATTTGAATTACACTACTAGCACATACCTTTAACTTTGAAGTTTGTAACGTTATTTAAAAATTTACTTTGCACTGACAAAAAATATGAGCTGGAAAAAACGGTAAGAAGAGAATTTTACATTATAATTTGGAAAAAAATGATCAAGTAATTATTTATAACAGGAATGAAATCAAGCCACTTTTTAAATACTCATCTACCAAGTACATAAACCAGATTTTAATTTACTCTTAGTAAGTATATGCTATTACGATGTCCAGGTGAGAATCGTGGTACCCATTAAATACACTATTTTATTTTCATAAGTTTAATACTGATATCTCCTATAAATAAGTTAGAATTTGTATTTTTGACAGTAAACATTATATATATATTATATAGTCTCAGAAATAGTTACTTCATCATAATTCGTATATAATAACTGTCATACATATAGTAATTAATAAACTATTTGAGCTCGCAATTTTACTATTAGCAAAAAAATCTGTTCCATTACAATGTTCACAAATCACAACTTTTGTTAAATTCACTTTATAATGAGTTTTTATATATGTGTAACATCTTGACGTATAAAAAATATACATCTTCAAAAATCCATTGATTTTTTATTCATCGTGAGAAATGATATACAGTGACACAAGCCAAGACAAATGTATTCATAGAATTTACACTTTTCTTCATTCGAAATGAATTATCAGAGAGAGATTTGGAGAGACAGGAGAAGAATAAAAGTATAATTAAAAATCGAAATAAAGAAAGTAAAAAACGAAGACTACTTAAGGTTATACGTTAAATGGCAGACTCAGCCACCAATGCTATACTTTTAGCATGATGTAGTTGAATTTAGAAATGCAATTTTTGTTCTCTATGTCTCTCCCTCCTACATAGTTGTATATTACATAGTATCATTGTGCGATCGATCTTCTAGCTATCAACAGTCGACGTTCACATATATATTTACGTATATTACATATTGTAGGGTATGTATACGTATGATTTTAGATGTCTTGCACTCACTTTTTTTATTTGATTATTGTCTTTATATACTATATTTCAAGCACGATATATATACTATATTCTAGATGTCTTGGCATGCACATATTTCAAGTAATGATTCACGAAGTGAACTGATCAAGATCACGTTAATTATATATAGTTTAATAGTGATTTTACAATAGATATTTTATACAACTTATTAGATTTTTTGCTTTTNGCACGTCTCCACGTTTTTTGCTCTTACACTAATTAATTCGTCAACATAGCATATAATTTGATAATTTTATTTTACTTACTTACTTTTAAAAAAACGTCATGCAGAATATTTTTTTTTTTTTAATTTTACGTACCTACTTTCATACGATTTAAAACCTTAACCTTATGAACCCATTCAAGGCAGTTTTTACCGATAAATAAACACGTAGATTCCCCGCCTTTTAATCAACAGATATACTTTAAACATTTTACATAAAGTTAACGTTGGGGTTTGAAAACGTGCAACGCTACGAGATCACGTTATTGTTGCATCATTCATTTTCTAGTGAGTTACGATGGGTATCAAAAATCACGTCAACTTCAATATTTTTACATTTCATTATTGAACTGTTTGATTTGACAGAAAATCCATTTTATGACATCATACAATCTCATCCCATTTTTTTCGACACCTATGTTTGTTAAAGATAGAAAAAAATTAAGCCGCAAGTTGATCAACTGGTCAACCTCCTTCGACTCCTAATCTGTCACCAATAGAGATGACATAACAACATATCAAAGCCATTAGTTCCATAGTACCATTCCAGGAATAGCGTTACGAAATTTTCCAAAAAATCAGACTCAGATAAATTTGTTTAACGTTCACATTAGCATAGATCCTAATCAACGTATCATTTGGCACGCTGCATTACAACATTTACAAGATTTAATCCGTTTAGGTAAAGATATACACGAATATTTATCAGGAAAGAAAATGTATTCATGTGATTCTCAGTGGTCGTACATCACAAGAGTTAAAAAGTAAAAAATATGCAAATGAGAACGAAGCAATGAGATTGCCTAGAGTAGCGCGACACCACCCACCGTCACGACCGCCACCACTTTCCGAAGCACCAACCAATTATAAAACACCCTGCCACTGCCAAGCCCACCTTTTTTCTCAGCAAGCATGAATTTCTCTCTCTCTCTCTCTCTCTCTGTTTCTTTCTCCTCAATACTCATATATTACAAAATTTCTGATATATATATATATTGCAAATTATCACTACTTAATTATGTATACATAAAGCGTTCGTTTGGAAATGTGTATTATACACGCATTGTACGTATAAATAACTTTACTACTATTGTATGATACATTTCTTAGGCATTATATATTTAATAGCGCTCTGCTCATATGTTATCCACGTATTCTTGTATACATTTTAGAAATTCAACTTAGGTCTATAGAAATTAGTTTCAACTATCACTGTATAATTTTATATTATTTTTTGTGCCCTTGCGTGCAGTTACACGCTTTACTCTATTCGTATTATAAAAAAGGCATTCGTTATCTTCACAACTCCGTACTTTGTAATATAAATTTTATGCTTTACAATTTTTTTTAAATAATTCACACCAATTCATTTGTCTAATATAAAAAAAAAAAAAATAAAGTCCAAAAGAAATTTAACAGATGCAAGCTGTTATCCTGATGGTAAGGTTATAAATAGTTTGTATTTTCGTTGTGGAGAATTTCCAAAGCTCATTCAAGCTCAATAGCGTGTAATTATATTCAAGCAATGCTCAACTAAATTGTTCATACTATTTCTTGAATTTATATTGATATCATGTCGAATGCTCTTGTGAGAAGTACTTTATGGGTTACAATTATTAATTCCAACTTTCACTTGACCAGAAAAATCGGTGTAAAGATTTATAAAGATGGAAGTGATTAGTCGTTTTGCACTCATTACTTAAAATTTATTTTTCCATTTATTTTGATGGCCGTACATTTGTAAAAAAACATGGTATTAAAAAATATTTTCAGACAAAAGTATCAAAATTAGGATTTTTTTTTGTAATTAAAAATATTAGCATTTTATACGACATTCAAATAAACATGGAGCTTAATAAGTACGACTTTCGTACGACAAAAACTGTACTTTATAAAACAGTAAATTATAAAATCGATAAAATAACTGGAGTTATGAAGGAAACGTCGCTGATTTTATCTGTATCTCTAGACTATAGTTACAACTTTGAAAAAACATGGCTCTTTAATAAAAAAAATACATATAAAATAATAAAACAAAAAAATCTGAAAATAAAACAGTTTAGGCTGCTCATGCAACCCACCCACATTGACAGACATACAAATGTAACATATCGATTCCTCCCTTCCGCGTCTCTTTATCCTGTCCAGGAACTCGCACACAAGCTGTCACGCAGCTTCGACATGCAGGAGGCTCAGTTGCTGGACGAGGCGGCTATCGGAGCTGGAGGTGTAGGTGGGGCTGGAGGCGCAGCTGGGGCATCTCGACGCCATCACAGTAGCCAGAGGATAGCCCGAGGCCCGGGCGATGGGCCTGAGAGAAGGGAAGAGGACGCTGCTGTTGTCGTGCCTGACGCGCAAGGTAATCTACGTATTACCATCAAGAAGACCAAGCCACACTTGGGTATCGTCATTGAGGGTGGATCTGATACCAAGCATTATTTGCCGAGGATAATTCACGTTCACGTGAGTATAGAAAATTTACTTTTAGCTCTGAATTTTCTGGGGTGCAGTTTTTTGGAGGGGTGCAGAGGTTTATTAGAGTCTGCTGAACTTATTTTTGACAATTTTTTTTCACGTAGGGATGATTTTTTTTGCTTCCAAGAAAAAAAAGCCTTACAATGAAATAAAATTTTCTTGTTTCTTAGAAAATACGATTATTTTTTTGCTAAATACTGCGTCTTACAGAAATTTTTATAAACTATTTTTTATTACATGTTCTTAATTTTATTTAAAACCAACCGTTATTGAGTTCTTGAGAAAATTGATCCTTATGAAAAATTTTTTTTTTCATCCATCCACTACAGTCTCATTCCTACTAAAAATATTGAGTAAATGATATGATTAAGAATATATGTCAGAATTACGATTTGAATAATCAGAATTTTGTTGAGGATATTGTACATTTTTTTTTTAATTATACATTTTTTTAAATGTCTTTCATCACAACCTAAATCGAGATAAAAACCTTTTTTTGCTCATTAAGAATAAAAATGATACGTGATAAGAAAAAAGTAACAGTGTACGATGCATTCAAAAAATTTTACCGATAAATAAACACGTAGATTCCCCGCCTTTTAATCAACAGATATACTTTAAACATTTTTAAACAGACTTCTAATGGGGTTTGAAAACGTGCAACGCTACGAGATCACGTTATTGTTGCATCATTCATTTTCTAGTGAGTTACGATGGGTATCAAAAATCACGTCAACTTCAATATTTTTACATTTCATTATTGAACTGTTTGATTTGANTTTTAAATATTAAAAACAACAAAAGGATAAGAAAATGGTTGTAATCTTTTGGCTCGATATTGAATCCAAGAAGAGATTGACCACACCTGCGCGTGAATGTTCGCATTGAGCCACTGCTTGTAAAGCTTCCTATCAACAGTAGCAGCTTATAAAGAGCGGATTTCAAAGAGGATTTTCTTTTGAAGTAATACGAAAAAGAAAGAATTAAGAACCTTCGATGTGTAATGAAGAGCCGATTTTTCATTGAATTCCTCGTGTTAGTTTTTTTTATTTTTGCCAGCTTCAAGTTGAAAAACGTAAAATTGTTTGAAACCAAATTTTACAAAACACAACATATTTAAAAATGTTCGTTGTAATGGATATCATTTTTTTGAGATACTTAATCCGTCGCCCTAATGTTATAGATACATTGACTCCTACAAAATGAAAATTCAATCCCCAATTTGTTGAATTTAGCAGATCGTTGTGATCGATAACGATAAAAAAATTTCAAAAATCCTATAGACAGTAACTACATAATTTAGTAATATTTTTCGATCACTCAGCCAATTTTTCTGAAACAATGAAAACACATAATTTAATTAATTTTTTGGACTCGGTAGCCATGACAACAAATTTTTAGAATCTTTTTGCCCTTGACTTTTATCGAATTTACCCTCGAATTTTCATTTATTTCAATTGAGTCGTGTGTAATAAGAGTAGTCATGGTTAGCGAAGACTAAATCTTTACTTGACGTCGTATAACTGATGGCTGGTGACATTTTTCTTTGCAAACAGGAGAGTGGCTCGGCTTACGAGGCTGGCGGTTTGGAAATCGGCCAACTGATCTTGGAGGTTGACGGTCAAAAGATAGAAGGTATGTTGCAAAACATTATTTTACAAAAAATTTGTCCAAACGATTTTATGTTGAAAATTACAAGTCAAATCATTTAACTTTGACAAAAAAAAACTCTTCAAGTGCTATATTTTAAAAACTAAAATTTAATCATTACTATTTGTCATATTATCAAGTATTTTTGACATTGTTTATGAGCAGAATTTTAAAGCTTGCGATTTATAATTTTAAGTATTTAGTCTTTAACCGAATAGTACCAACCAAATTTTATCAAAGGTATTGATCGAGGCATTAAACACACTATTCAACTGAAAATCAATAAATATCTTTGTTTATCTATAAAAACAGCTATTTTAATAAAACATGAGTTATTAATTGTAACAAACTTCAACATAATGCAGACAGTAATAAAAAATAAAAAAATTATGCGCTTCTCGAGTCTTGCTATGCACCGAACAATACGAAACCAACGAATATGTAAGGTGCCAAATAAAATTCACCAAACTGGCGATATAAGAAGGAGAAAAAAAAAAATTTGCTCATACAGCAGGACTTCGTCATCACGAGGTGGCACGTCAGCTGGCGGAGGCGTACGCGCGCAAGGACCGCAACGAGATCGAGTTCCTAGTCGTCGAAGCGAAAAAGAGCAATCTTGAGCCTAAGCCCACGGCCCTCATATTTCTGGAGTCTTAGCAGGAGTCTCCCACCTCCGAGCCAGAGCCCCCATAGGTCATCGTTGCGCCGGCGAGGGGACGCTATGCTGTGGACAAGGAGTCTGATGAGCCCAGGGCTGCGTATCAAAATTTGCACAGGGCCTGAACGAGCCTTTTGTTCTTTTTTATGGTGAGTTTTTTTTTCTATTAAATCCTAACTCAAATTAGGCGCACAAAATTATTTATACGCAAGTAATTACTTACACATAATTTATTACACACGAGAGCTCTATACCCCAGAATTTAATAGCACAAAGCATAACGGGTATTAGTCTCCTCCGTTGAGCGACTTTGATCCACCAGCGTGTGATCACCCCGTACAAACTGCTTTATTGCTTGTTACACACCTAAGTAGAAATGATAGTTAGAGCACTTCGTTGCACAGCACGACCCTTATCAAACTTTCTGACAAGGAGCACTAAAGTTATTAGGAAGTTTATACCAAAGTTGACTAATCTCAAATACCCTCGTGGATAAAAATTTGTAGTTTTTCTGTTTTTTGTTACGAAAACTTGAATGACTTCATAATCAAAGAAAAAAATCTTAGTGTACATGAATAAATACATTAAAATTTATTCAGGCCAAAATGTAGCATTGTAAATCGTGCACCCGAAATTCGGGACAGTAATTTATTGAACTAACAAAAAATTTCTTTACAGTAACTTGTTTTCCAGATAGATAGAACAATGAACTATTCTAACTATAATTATCAATTAACCTATCTTTTTTTCTTGATACGAAGCATATCACCCAAAAAAGTATGCAATATGTTAATAATCTTTTACTTTGAGATTTTCTTACAAAAACATGTAAATTTCATCAATAAAACTGTAAATATAAAAATACGTATGCATACATATTTATTTATCTATGTATACGTGCATGTTTTCAAGTACAATTTTCAAAATGTTAATAAACGTCACCATATTATTGTTGGTTTGTAAAAAAAAAATAAAGTTTTTTGCAACGCCATATATTGCAACAAATTATCATAACTGATACATTGAGTCATGCATTAAACTGATTTGTACCCTCTAAAGTTAGATCAGTCGAATTAGTTAATATTGACTAATTATAAGTGAAAAGTTTATTATGATAAGTAAACGCCATTTTAATGATTCACAGTATAATTTGACTGATTCAACTTTAGAGAGTAATCTGAAAAATCGATTACTCATCAATAACTCATCAATGACATTAAAAACAGTAGATATCTCTTATCACACTATTTAAATTATACTTGAAAAATTATTTTTTAAATATGTCTTAGGCAGTTAAAATATTATAAAGTAGCACCACCTAACCCGATTGTACAATAATAGCAAAATAGTAATTAAATAATATTTACTAAGTCCAAAAATATTTGGCTTCTCTAAATAACGTATAGTCTTACAAACGGTTTTAAACCTTTCTCGCATTTCAATTTATAGTTGGAAGCTCGCACGTCTCCACGTTTTTTGCTCTTACACTAATTAATTCGTCAACATAGCATATAATTTGATAATTTTATTTTACTTACTTACTTTTAAAAAAACGTCATGCAGAATATTTTTTTTTTTTTAATTTTACGTACCTACTTTCATACGATTTCAAACCTTAACCTTATGAACCCATTCAAGGCAGTTTTTTTATAACAGTAATTTTAATATTTAAATTATAAAATGCTACTTTCACAATTAATGTTCAGTAAAATAATAATTAACTCTATTATATTTAAATAATATTAGAACCTTAAAAAATAATAAATTCACAGGAAAATATACTTTAAAAATTATCACATTTACGCGGTCACAATTAGTTATTTTAAACTTTGCAATAGTCGTATCTTATTTAATATAGCTCTATAAAAATAGACCATTTTTATTGACAGTTTTTTTTGGGGGGAGTTTTGTTTTTAACTTTTTATATTCATACAAGTGATACCAATACATCAATATTTAATTAGAGTTATTTTTCAATACATTTTTTATTATAATAAATTAGGAAAATGTACATAATAATCAACTCTACTTTCCTAATTTTATATTTAAGAATTACAAGATCAGAGAAAAAAACATTTTACTAAAATTTAAATTGTTAATGTTGATAAGTGAATAAATTTAGCATTCAAACTCTTGTCCCGCCTTCAATTACATAACAATTGAGGGATTTTGATTTTTTTAGAACATTAAATATTTTTTGTTGCCCCTAAACATAACAAATTATCCAAATAATATCAATAAACGTAAATTAAGCATTTTATCAATAAACTTAAAAATTACCATTTTATTTATTAAAAGCCCGTAAATTAAATATTTTTTCAGTACATTATCTTTATAGTTCATTTTTTTCCACAGATTCGAATCAGTACCTCTGCTCAGCAAAATACTCGACTCTGGGAGCAAACGCTTTGTTGTCCACAAACGCTTGCAATACCTATATGTACATGCAACTCAAGCTGACTCTCAACATATGGACCGGCGAACATCTGATCTGGTAGATTACTCGACAAAATACCTGGCTACGGTGGTGGGATATACCAATCTCGCGTGGACATGTTTCTTTTTTTTTTTTTTCTTGCGTGTAAAGTAACGCTCAAAGTGTGCGCGTGCGTATAACAAAATTGCGAGGAGACGATTCAAAGTGGTGTGCGTGCGAGTATGGCTGTCGCGATACCGAAGACATCAACGAGATTGAGATGGTTGGTGGGAAGGCGAAAAAAAAAAAATTTTCGCCAAAGGAGATCAGAGGAGAAGACAGGCAAGAGGAACTTTCTGTGCCAAAGCAATTAGCGACCCAGTGAAAAATATTTGGCTCTTTCGGAATTAAGAAACACCGAAAAAATTAATCAAAAGTAATACAGATGCGGTACTGTGCTTTACAGCCAAAAAACTTAAGTACACAACACATTGTAGATACTTGCTATGATGGCATACGCATGTCTCTAGGTCTGATCTGCGAAAGTGTGTAACGGGTGGGGCCGAGGTTTGTTGTTCTTCTCGTATGACGTTTATGTTCGGAAGGGGAGTTTCACTTATGTTGTTTCATAAAAGAGGAGTGCTATCGATGCACTCACTGTTGTTTACAGTATAACATTGTGTTGAAATAAGGGCGGCGATCGAGGAATCCAAGCAGACCCTCATTGTTACCAGCTAAAAATAACACGTTGATTGTATATACTTGGTTTCACGAAGATGATGGTACATTGCTTTCATTTCTCGATTGCCGGATGGAATCTACGTAATGGAAAATATCCTCGAGGTGTGCACCACGGTCGTGAATGTATCGCAATTTCATCGGCAAACCAAAGCAGATTCGTTAAGCGAAAACAGCTGCGTTTATGTTGTTATAAAATAGTGTATGATATATCCAATATGTTCGAGTTCGTAAGATTACTTGAAAATTGACTTGGCAAAAACGATTACGAAATTGTTTTATATGATAAAAATTCAAAAGAATAAATCTTCCAAGCCTCACTATCGTAAGATGTAAAAGAAAGAGTACGCGATTATTTTTTAAATCGACATAAGATAAAAGCGCACAGGACTAAGTACGATAGATTCAATGAATTCCTCGGAAACTGCACGCCTATAATATACCCTCGTGGTGCAGACCTGTTAATTTTTTTACACTCAGCTTGCTTATAACGAAAGAAACGTTTTTTAATAACAATAATGTAAAAAAAAAAAAAGAAAAAAAAAAAGGTAGAAAAATTCGTTACGTTGATTGTTAATGTGCCAAAGTAGTTAGTAATGAGAAAAAGGCGCAATCAAAGGCCTTGAGATTAAATATTATTTGAGATTGAGATAAGTAAATTTGATATAATATAATATGAATGAGCTCGTCGAAGATTTCCGTGCCCGTTGTTGAAAAAAAAAAGTATGTTCTTCTTAGAAAAGTTTAAAAGTATATACGAAAAACAGTTTTTTTTTGTCACTCAAGAGTTATTTATGAGAGTTAAGATAGATTAAGGTTGTTTGCTTGTTTGAGAACCACTAAAAATGGATACAGTTTATTGCGTGATAATATTGTTCCCGAAGCTTCAGGTATTATGTAAGAAACGAGAGTTTTATAATATAAAAATTTTTAAACAAAGTGTTTGATCTCTGGTTACAAATTTGTTGTTTGAAAGAATATTACTATTAACCATTTATATGTAGAAACATTTATTTTTGTTTACAAAGTGTTCATAGTCTAATAGATAGTAAGACTTCCCAAAACCTCTGTACGTAAAGTTCGGAAGATAAAAGCTATGTGTAAAAAAAAAAAAAAAAAAAAAACAAATGCGTTTGGGTGAATTAAATAAATAATTTAAACTTAGTAGACTATCAATATTAGAAAATCGTGAGTAGATAAAATTGGGCATGGAAATTTATGTATGAATGTAAAGCATCTCCTCATATTTTTTATTTCGTAGTACGCACAATAACGATTGCAAATTTAAAGTAAGTGACATGAAAATGAAAAAAAAAAAAAAAAAAAAATACTGTTGATGCACTGCTTTTAGGTAAATGACGCCGTAGATTGGGGGGGAAACAAAGGAAAACAATTATAGACCAATTTTAATGGGATGTTCAATTGAAGAAAATTTTAATTTACAGACGCCAACGCAATAAATCAAGTATTCTTTTTTTTCTCTGTATGAGAAAAAATACAAGCGACAGCGCGAAAACTATCTGGAAATTTTTTTTTAGTCGATCAAACGTTATGGTTCATGCGTGAAATATTTATCTAAAAAATCATATGAAATATTGCGAGTTTATTTATCACTTATGATGTACTCTATACTTCAAAATTTTAGATAAGAAATCTTTAGGCAAAAACATGAACAAAACTTACTAAAAATTGCAGTTTTGACATGCTTTGACAGGCTTTCATAAAGAGGGGTATATTTTTCAACATTCTTTATAAAAAATGAAAAAAAAATTACCTGTTAGAAATAAATAAAAAAATAATATACGATAGGTCGTGCAATCCCAAATAATTCGGAAATTTAATAATTATAAATAATTTGATTTAAGTAAGAAACTTTGAAATTGAATGTAATTTTTAAAAGCCATTTCTAGATACTTTTCTATGAGATATTATGATATAAAATTTTATGTTAGTGCTCCGATTTAATTAATTAGCAATATCAACTAAAATTTTTATGAGTTTCAGCAACTTTAACATAAGCTAATTTGAAAGTCAATCATGCATGAACCACCTTAAATTGAACGACTAAAAGAACAATTTTTATAAATTCGGCAGGATAGGGAAATCAATTCCGAGAAAATCTCAAACACCGCGTGTGTATGAAAATCTGCAACGAAGCGTAAAACGTTTATTTTTTGCCTTCACATCGGTCGTTTGTTTGCGCATAACGATATGCTAGTTATAAGAACATTCGTGCACTTACCGTTACTGCTTACACGCATATAAAAGTGGGCGAGTTTGCGGCGTCAAAACAAAGCTGTTGCGGCCAGTTTCTGACGGAACGATTTTCCGGAAAACGCCATGCGATTATAATATAAATATGTAACAAAAAAAAAGAATAACGACGATTAAGGGAAAAAGTACAGTTTCAAACAAACTGTAAGACATTTTTTCAGAAATAAAAAATAAAAAAACAGAGCGAAACTTTTCCAAGGCGTCCGAGAAACAAAAATATTTTTATAAGCGGCTTTCGAAATACGCACAGTGTTTGAATAGCCAAAAGATTTCAGCTGACATATCTGAACAATGCCTTACCGCTTTATGTGTTGAATAACGAACAAATAATTAACTAACAAATAAACAAAAATGTGTGACTAAAACCATGTTTGTGAAACATCACAAATCCAGACATCACAGCATCGATCGAATACACTTTCAAGGAGATTAAAGAATGACGATTTTCAAAAATATTACTACAAAATAATCGAGTTCTATTTAACAGATTGGATCCAATATCAGTGAGTTTTAGTTAATGTTTTTATTGTATTTAATGTTTAAAAATTCACTAGCCATCTTTTGAATTTTTTTTCGCTCATTACACCCATCTGCAGATGTGAAAAGAATATCGACATATTTTTTTACAATTTTTATCCAAATGAACAATTATGTCCAAATTAATTCAAAGATTATATGTAACGTTAGAAAATCAATACTTATAGTGTTCAAGTCATAACGTATCGATACTTTACTCTTGACTCTGCCATACATCTTTACTTTGGATTAATAAGACTTAAATTTAAACTATAAATTGAGTACAAAATTTATTGCGACACTTCATTAAGATTTCATAAAATAAATAGTTAATGATTTCTGAAATTCATTGGAGTCATTGGAAGCAATCATTCAATTGCCCAAGTGGATGGTAAATTTAATTAAAAATCATTAACTTGGCTAGCGAGGCGACAAAAAGCCATCTCGATTAAATACTGTTAAAATAATAAAAGCCATTTTATTACTCACTTTAGCTTCTCTGATGTTGGACTCAAGCATTTTGTATGAAGGTAAAACCCGCTCCAGACCTTTCTTCTCTTCCCCTCCCCCTCCACACAAAGTTTCAAGTTTGAAAAAAAAATAAAAATCTTTTTCAGACAATGCACTTCTGATAGCAATGAGATCTTTTGTTAATACGGGATAGCATAAGGAAAAAACTTAGTAAATAGCATCCTTACTCTAGTTACAATGAGCAAACTGTAGCTGTCGATTTTAGAATTTAGACTAACGTTTTGCAAAACAAAGTATAAATATGAAATTTTGAAAACGTAGGTACGTCTATTCTAGAAAAATGGTAGGTTTTATTTTTTCAACAAAATAACGATGGAAATACTCCAATTCCGATTCCTACATTTCTCGATAAGCAAATGTCGTATCTTGCAAAACTAAATTTCGCTTTAATAAAAAGTACTTATGAAATTATGCAAGATTGTGCTGCACATTTTTTAATATTCAAGTGATGAAGTGAGAAACTTGTTTAATGTCTGACCAAAGAAAAAAAATTGTGTAAAAATATATTTAATGGTACTGTTCTACGAATCGAAACACAATTCATTGCAACTACGAAATAATACTGTAAAGGACTAAAGGTTCAATAAAACTTGAATACAAATATATAAATAATATAAACGCAATGTTAAGGAGATTCTGTTTGTTATTTGTGAAACACTTATACAAATGTACATAAAAAAAAATTAATAAACAAATAAGGTGTCGCTCGTTCGTACTGCATTTCATGTAATTAAATAATCTGTTTTTTGCAGCAACTAACAATATTTTTTTAAACGCATGATGGTAAGCGATGAGTTTTCATGATTTGCAATCGACGAAAAAAAAAAAGACGACGAATGGTCACTCGTACAAATTAGCTATCGCGAGATAAATTGCATACAAGTGTAAACACTTGTGTACACATCTCTAGCGAAAGCTTGAAACGTAAAAATATGTTCTTGACTATTATGATAAAAAATGGTGATGGTCGTTACAATTATTATTATGATTATTCTTATTATTATTGTAATTAAAATAAAAAGTTTACACAAAAAAATAAATTTTATTGTTTTAATGCTTACATAGAATAAAAACGATATCCAGATTGCACAAAAGTGAAAAACACTAATTCTACTTCTACAGACAATGTTATTTTATTTTTGTGAAATAAAATGCTATGCAGTATCAGTTATTTGGAATAAAATTTTTGTCTACTGTTACCATGTTCTTATTAGCATGAATTGGAAGTATAATACTAAATATCGCTGACATTCTTCTCAAAAGCTGAAAGTAAAATTAACAAAAATTTTTTTATTAATATTGATAAATGAAATTCAATTTAAAAACGTTCAAAAAACTTATTTACCGATGTTGTTATTCTTGTTCCAGTATTAACGGCATTATGTGCACCTTCAGCTATGTTGTTTAGTCCTGAATTGACAGTAGAAATCCCTAAATTTGCCACTTCTCCAGTATTTTTAATGGCTGTTTCTAAAAATGGTTCATGTTTCTCGGCCTGACGAAATTCAAATATACATACATAACTTGTTATGTAACAGGAAAAATGCTCTCCTACATACAATAATATAAGCATGTACAAAAATTTTTTAATTTATTGACATCTGCAAACACGCAATTCTATGACGAATATGGTTTAAACTACTGAAACTGGTATTAATTCAAAAGTTACACCTCACTTGCAACACCGTGAAATATAAATTTATAATTAATTCTAAAAAACAATTGCTGTTGTAACACAAGGTGCAAAAATTACTCGTAAAAATTATAAGTTAAACAAATTTAAAACATGTATTGGTTTTAAAATATTGATTTCTATTGGATTTGTCTACATAGGACACTTTCAATTAAAATACATTCAAATGTCTTATCTTAATAAACGGAACGCTTACTGTTGTTTTGATAATAGGTTTTTACATGTTGGAAAAAAGTTGTTCATTAAATTTATATGTAACGTACTGTGATATAACAAATAAAAAATAAACCTTTTTTTTTAAATAAGATATGCTCAAGATTGTTGTTGAATTTGAATTTTTAATACTAATTATATCTCTTAAATAATTTTGTAGAATTACTGGAAAAAATTGAAAAGAGTCATGATTTAAAAAAATTTGTTATAACCCTAAATAAAATTTTTTCCTGTAAATCAAAAAATTTATTATGTCACGCCATTGTCATTAGATGTCTTAAAATTATTTTATTGGTTTATTTTATGTTAAGACCTTTTCAGGATGAAAAGATTCTAGAACATTTGTAATTACTAATCTATAGAACATCGATTCATCAACCAATAAAGTTTGGTACGGTTACTGAAAAAATTACTAAACTATGTGTCTAAATGGAATTGTAGTGTTAATAAAAATATCACACAACGTCTGTAAGGTCATGTAAGGTCTGTAAGGAATCCAAATTCTAATGTGTTATTTTAGTAATGGACTATCGATTCTTGCAAGAAAAGTTTTCTACAAATATTTGACGTTTAAAATATTGCGAATAATCATTTTTTATAATGAATAAATTTGAAAATAAAATAAGTGACTGATAATTTCTAAAATAAAATTGAATTACATTCCACGGCATACAAATACGAGATTTTTGCAAGGGTACTAGTTTCAGTTATTTTTACCTCACGTGGACTGTGCATGGATTAAAATTTAAAAGTGCTATAGATTCATTCTAAAAAAATGTTTTGAGAGCATTAAAAATTATTAAGACCAAGTAGTAACATAAATAACTTTATAAAAAAAGACTTACAAGTTGGTTTACGTCATTTGTGTATAATTGATGATGCAGAACTGGGCTCGACTCTACTAACTGGAGAAAAAATTGTAAGTTACGATCTGACATAAGACTCGAAAAAAAAGTTAGTAGATAGTTAAGTATCTCACCACTACAACACAAAAGGCCAAAAGAAGCGCCAACTTCAACATATTGAATTAATTGTTGAATGGATTGTCGGTTACTTAGAAAGAGCGTCGATATCTTCTGTAGAATGTTGGTAGATCGAGTTTTGACTAACTTTTAAAATTTTGAGCCCAGTACTACCTCTTTATATACATGAAAAAATCAACCCAACTCCAATAAAGAATTACAAATACAGATTGTTTTTCTAAGGTGATAAAGCTAATTATGTATATGTTTTCGAGTAACTCTATACATTAATCTACTTCAAAAATATCTTACTTACCTTCATACTTTATCGTACTTTTAGCGCACACAATACTACCCACACGTTGCTTATTTCCTTGAGTCCACGAAAGACAAACAGCATATTAATTAGTAGCCTTTTTTCACTCGCTGTACTACTTAAGTCTAATCTTATGTCTGACGTAAGATTATTTTATGGTCCATGACTTTCAGATAACTAAATTGGTTCCGAAAATCCTTAAAACAACATGAAAGCTAAACAATTTAGTGGTTTAAGCGAGTAATAATAAAATTACATTTTTGCGTATTATTCTAAACGAACAATGTAAAAAGTGTTTATTTTTCAATCCATAAAGAACGAACTTTTTTTATAAATTGAATAATAATGAATTCTACATGTTTCACGCGAAACGCAAGTAAATCTTCGAAACGAAATTATTCATGTTATAATTGTTTATACTCAATTAAATTAAAACGTTTTTTAGATGGATTGTTTATCCGCTAAAACTATTTGTAAATGAAACTTACAAATTTAATTTTTCATGGTCATCGAATTGCTTTATTAGCATACATTGATAAAATAGATTTCTGTAAACTGATACTTTTTACCACTAATAGTGGTCTACTTAATTTGATTATAATAAGAGTCAGGAAAATCTTTTAACATATGTAAAAAACATAAGATAGTACTAAACATGTGCGTTTTACAAGTATATTTTTTAAACATATGTCGTTAAAAATTTTTTTGGAGAAATCTAGGAGGATATTTCAATTCGTTTCTCCCGATATTGTTTTATTTTATTTTTATTTTTATTTTATTTTAT